TTTTTATTTGACGAGTACGGACGAGAGAGAGAGAGAGACTTGCACAAAGGAAAATAGTGTGGCGCATGATAATAACCTTAACGTTAATGATGATAGTAATAATAATGATGAACGGTAACGATAAAAACCAGGTCGCGAGTTGTTTTGAAATTTCGACAGTGAGGAGATGGAGGAGCAGAAAAAAAATATAAACTCGTGGCTTCTGTACGCGATGGCGAAGAGTGGGGAACGGAAGTGGGGGGGATCGACAGGCACGCGTTTCTTCGACCGAGGGAAACACAACGCGTGTTTCTCCTTCGTGGTTTTCGATTGAAAAGTTCACCTTTTTTTTTTTTTCCTTTTAGTCGCGTAGTCTTTTTCCTTTTCTCGCGAGTATTATTTGTGTCCTTTTTCTCGTCGTTGTTATTATTATTATTATTGTTGTTGTTGTTGTTATTATTATTATTATTATCATTATTATATTATTATTATTATTATTATTGTCGTCGTCATCATCATCATCATCATAATAATAATCATAGATATCATTATCATATCGTCCTGTAATTTTTTCTTTTTCTTTTTTTTTTCTTTTTTAAGCTTCTTTTTCCCCGAATTTCTTTTACCTGCTGTTTTTTTTTTTTTTCTGTTGGTAGAATCGATAAATTCTGTTATCTTTTGATGGTTTTTTTCTTTTTTTTTTCTTTTTTGTTTGCAAAATCGTGAACCCCTTTCAGACTCACCCCCGTGGCACACGCGTAAATACCGCGTGTTACGCGTTCATACAAAAACACATACACACACACACAGACACACACGTGCATGTACACGCATAGGAAACGTGTTAAGTGAAACAATTTTTCGTCGATCAATTTTTCGAAAGAGGAGAGTGAAATCTATGGTGTTTTTAGTGGGTAAATATTTAAAGATTAACTAAATACATACTATTATGGATAATCATTAAGAGTACACGAAGTACATAGAGGTAAAAAAAAACAGATGCATTACATAGGCATGTAAGGCAGCAGAAACAAATATAACATATATTTCAGCGGTGGTGCTTCCCTCCAGATGCTAAATTTAAAAAAGAGGAGGAAAAGAAAGAAGAAAAAAATCGTGTGTCTCGTTTCTTGGAATTTAAAGCTCGAAGAGGATTGCATTCAAAAAAAAAAAAAAAAAAAAAAAAAAATGAAAAAAAAAAAAAAAAAAAAAAAATGGAAGGACAACGAAATTTCCGTTCGACGAACTGTGAAGAAGAAAAAATAGAGTTCGACTAAGAAGCTGCGTATCCCCGTGTGCATCTTTTCTGGAGGGAGAGCCCAGCCGCTAGCGTGTTTGGTTTAAAATTTAAAATTAGCGAGACATTAGTGAGGAATTGGCCCCCTGTATCGTTGGAAATCGGCGGAAGCCGAACCCACCACGAAATTCTCGACCGAACAAATCCGAAACGAGGAAAAAAGTGGAGCCGGGAGGTCCACGAAAACGAAATCATCTTGGGGGGAAAAAAACGATGATTCAGAGCCGTGCGCGTAAAGCAGAGAGTACAGACAAAGGGGAAAGCTGTTACATCCGGTTTTTGTTTCTTTTTTTTTTTTTCTTTGATCAAAAATCTTACACACACAGCCATCGTACATACGTTATATGCTACAAGAGACAGCACAGAATGGAAAAGAAACAGGAGAAATGGAAATAAGACTATAGAAGGGACAAGAGAGAGAGAGAGAGAAAGAGAGAAAAGGAAGAGAAGAAGAAGAAGAAAGGAAACAATAAAAGAGACCGATTCTCTCTGCCTGTAATAAGTGTTTAAAGAGTTTATTATCGAACCAGATTTACCATAGAAAAGCTATATTATATATATATATATATATATATATATATATATATATATATCGGATACATATATATTATATATATACACATATATATAGAGATTATTCTATATATCTATACCCGTACATAACGTCATATATATTTTGTCAGTTTTTTCTTTGTTTTTTTTCTTTTTTTAAGCTGTGTATGAGGGGAATGCCGTGAAGAGGGGGGGAGAAAATGTGGGAAAAAGTGAAAGAGGGGTTATAAAACTAAGAAACGAACAGTTTGCAGGAGTAGCGATGGAAAGGAATAGGGATCGTAAATAATAATAATAATATTAATAATAATACTAATGATAATAGTAATAATAATGGAAACCGGATGGCATTTAAACGTACCTATTAATTAAATAACGGTTATTATTAAATAATAATAATAATAATAATAATAGTAAGATTTAACGCAAAACGTTTTCTAACGGGAAAAAGTGTCCATGCAACAAGAGTCTTTCTCTGATGTTTTTTTTTCTCCGATATATATATATATACACACATACACACTCACACACATTTTCACACTTTCTTTTTCTTTTTTAAAGTTGAAACACACCACAGTGTATAGTTGGATCGGAATACTTACGAGTATATAATACACACACACACACACACGCTGTGTGTACTCTTTTTTTTTTTTCTTTTTTTGTCGACACGTGTGCCGTGACATTGATAATATACAAATCACAAGTGCAATAGTTATTTACAATAGAACCCATGGTGAATTTTTTAAAAATGAAGGAAAGGGGCGCTCCGCGACGTCGGCCGATCCTTCGCCGTCAGCGTCGAGTTAGAGGGCAATCGTGTTAACCGTCGACCCCCCACGCCCCCTTGCAGTTTAATGTTATTATTATTATTTACTACGTCTCGCGAGTCTTCCCTGCACGTGATCCCGCCCGTTCATTTCATTTTCCTATTGACTTTTTCCTTGTCAACGTTGCCTACAACGTTGCACTTCGTTTCTGGAACCGTGGAGGGAGGAAGGACGCGTGACTCGGGCCTTACCAAGGGTGGAGGGGGAACGCGACGCTGTAGAGCGGCCCGCAGTCGATGCCTAGCAACGCTAGAGAGGGGATCGTTACGTCGTCACGTCGCGCCCCGACACAACACTACCTCGCAAATTTCAGATTATCTACAAAGCAGATATTTTTACCGTACCTCGATTACACGCATATTATTATACGATAGACGAGAGTGAAATACGCAGGGGAAGATAGAGAACTAGCCAGCTATAGACAGGGGAGAACGGAGACAATGGAAACGGAGAATAGCGAGAAACGACGATAGAATGAAGGAGAGAGGAATTTGATAGACCACACGAGCCGTGTTTCAATTGCTGGAGATATATATGTATATATATCTTTTTTTTTTCTTCTTTTTAAATTGTATAATTAACAAAATTGTGATGTACAATTAATACACAAACCTATACATATATATATATATATGAACTCGTCGAGAAAGAGAGAAATGCAATTGAAGATTTCTTTCTTCCAAAAGTCACTTGTAAAACGATGATGTGATCCGCACGACGATACATAGAGTAATATATGTATATATACGTATATATGTAATACTGTTACACCGTCGAAGAAAGTCAACGCGTACAAGGAGTCACCTAACCTAACCTCACTTTCTCAGAGATTTTTGCCTCTTGTGAAAAAACAAGAGGAACGTATTGACCTTGTTAGTAGTCGTTGTAAAAGTGCCGACTCCCAGTCTCTCCTTGTACGTGCGACTGATTCGTTCGAACGAATAACAACCGAGTTCGACACTTACGTTTTTTTTTTTTTTTTGTTCCATCTGTTTTTGCCGTTTGGTTTGCTCGTCTCGATTGAAACACGAGTGGACAGGCAGAGTTTTGGAAAGGCAACAATTGAGCGGAAAGACAAGAATATACATATATATATATATATATAGAGAGAGAGAGAGAAATAACACTGTACGTACACACTCGGTGGTTAATAATAACAATAACAACAATAATAGAAAGAAAAAAGAAAAAAATAAAAATCGCGCATGCAGTTGAGAAAAAAAATCCAACAGCGAGAGAACATGAGAATGAGAGTGAGAGAGAGAGAGAGAGAGAGAGAGATATCCCAATCCCGTCTACGGGAAATCACCCAACTCCCCCCAGCCCCCCTCTCCCCTTTCATACAATAGGAAATAGTTGAGCGTGAAACAGCTACGATTAAAAAGGAAAAGAAAGGAATAATAAACAAACGATTGCGAAATAGAATTATTGTATTCGCGAAGCTCTGTCGAGGCGATAGCGAGGTCGCCCCCTCCCCACCCCCCCGCCAGCCGAAGCAACGCGCCGGGGGCGCCATTTTATTTTTTCCTCCCCTCTCGCGCGTCGCTTCTCGCCCCCCGCGGGGGCGGGGGCTCTCCGTTTTTTTTCTCAGTGTACATATATATAGTGTGAAGTAAAGAAAAAAGAAAGAAACTGGAATTCCTGATTTCTCGACCGTCTTTTCCTCTCGTTTTCCAAGAGCGTGATTGATATTATTATTATTAATATTATTATTATTATGATTCTGCGTCGAGTCGATCCGTCCCGACCACTCTCGTTCGACGTCCCCCCCCCCCCCCCCCTATCCTTTTCTCGTTTTCATTTTACCTGAAGCACGAAGAACCCGAGATATTGATTTATAATAGACATTATCGAGAGAATCCTGATCGTATCGTGCCGCCACAATCGGATGCTGCTTTCGACTCTTCGACGAGTTCTTTTTTTTTTCTTTCTGTTTGACGAACGAGAGAGAAAGGAGTCTCGAAAAATTAAAAAGACACACACACCACTCCGATGAATCGAGGGTGGAACGTGGCATTCGAGTAATTGCGCAACGCGCGTCATCACTGCCAAACCTGGACGATAAACGAAAACAGAGGGGGTGTTCGGTATCCGGGACCACGGGGGTGTCCTCGCAAAAGCGAAGCGGAGACGTTCCAAATTCCCCCACTTTGTAACTGTTAAGAACTGTACAAGAGACGCCGGCGATTTGTTGCGAGTGCGTGGCTATCGTTATTATCGAGCGAACGTCGAGAGAGGGGAAACGAGAGGCGTGACGTGTATATTGAGAGAGCGTTGATGGTCGGGACCACGGGTCTTGTAGCTTCGAAACATTTCTCCGTTTTCTTTTTTTCTTGTTTTTTTTCCTCTCATCTTCTTGTTGTGCCCGTCGTCGCGAAGCGAGCGAAGAGACGGAGCGAGAAGCGAGGAAACGACGGTCGCCATAGCCGACAACCCTGTTATATTTTGTCGCGTCGAGTCGTCCCGAGAGAGAGAGAGAGCGTCCCGAGAACAGCTGCGGAAGAAAAGACACACGAATCCACGAAGTAAACTGAAATCCGAAACCAGAGCTGTGGATAAAGGAAAAGGACGAAGAATGGGCATCAAAACTGATTCGTGGCTCTTGACTCGTGACTCGTCTCGGGCTCGGTGGACGATGATTTGTTATTATACCGAAATCTGTTAGTTTTTTGTCCTACATATTAGCGTTGAAATAGAATGGAAATAGTAGAAATGTGTTGTTTTTTTTTTGTCTCTTTTTCTTATTATTGAGGAAGATATATATACAAAAGCGAATGTAATCAACTGCAAATCGACGATTTTCTTTTCCCACCTCGTCGCGGCTACGAAAAACATACGCAACAGACAACTTACGACACACATGGAAGACAATGGCAGAAAACGCACGAGCGAGGAATATTATAATTAAGACGCGAAGCATGGAGAGAGAGAGAGAGAGAGAGAGAGAGAGGAATGAGTTTCGAGAGTTACAAAAAACGAAATGCTTCTTCGAAGTAAATAATGGGCATGTGAAACTCGATTCGCGCGAGAATCGTTGGGAGGACAGGTACAGGAAGAAAGAAGAAAAATATTGGGCGAGACGCGCGACGGAGAATATGATGATGTACGCGCGTCGTTTTTCATTTTGTAACGCTCACGCGCCAGCTTCACACACACGACGTCGCTTCTCTTTCTTTCGAGCCGCCATCTTGTTTTTTCATTCGTGGGGGGAAAATATGGCGGATCGGTGTGAAGAAAAGGGCGGGAAAAATTCTCCCCTTGCGTCTCAAACAAAATTTCGTCTTTTTTTTTTTTCATTATTATTGTTACTACTGCTACAGCTACTATTACTGCCTATTGCACTATCGTTACTATTCTATTATTAATTAGTTGATTAAGAAAATCACGGGGAACGAGAAGAGAGAGAAATGGACGTTGAAGCGCGCGCGCGCGCGCGTGAGCGATGATGCATCGTGATTTCGACACGAGAACAATTCCTCACAAATAAAAATGATAAAGAAACGTAACTAAAAATAGAGATAAATAAAGTAATATTATATATATATATAGAAAGAGAGAGAGAGAGAGAGAGTGAGAGAAAGAGAAAAGGGAGTGACAGTGGTGAATTGAAGAAAAAAAAGAGCAAACATCCACACACACACACATGCATACACACGCGAACGACGAACGCAGCGAGAAATGATTTCACTTCGGTCGGGAAATTTTCTTTTCATTAACTGTGTAACTTTCAAAATAAAAGTTCTATTTGAACGTAAGGCGCGTTGAACGAGAAACGAAACAAAACGAAAAAAAAAAAATGTCGACTGAAATAGAAAATGCCCCCCAAGAAAAGAAGAAAAGGAAAAAAGAAGAAGGAAACGAAAAGCGAGACACACACACGCACACACATACTTCACGATGTGTATGTTTTTTAAGGAGGCAAAAGGATTTTCTTCGTTCGTTTTCTCTTTCTTCTTTTCTATTTTCTTTTTTTTTTTTCTTCAAGTTCGATCGTAAATCCGAAGAAAATTCGCGAGAATCAAAAATGCAAAAAGGAGATGGAAGAAAAAGCGAAGAGTAGTATGCATATTAATGTCAGAGATGGAAAAGAAAAAAAAAAACAATCGTTTTAAGAGAGGAGAAAGCAGAAAATTTGTCGGATCTCGAGCGATTCCTGTGGGTCTTTGAAAATGACTTTCAAGAAATGAAACGGGGGGGGGGGGGGATAAAGCGGAGAGAGATTCATTTTCGTGTCTGCACGTCCGATATCCTTTTCCCCGTTTCTATGTTGACATTGCATGGAATAATCGTCGTTGAACGCCACCGTTGTTTCTTCATCGAGACACTTTCCACAATTATCGTTTAACGTTTCTCCACGTTTACCTTCCATCTTGCATTTCTCTCGTTTGTCTTCCCAAATCTCTCCATCCCGCTGCCTTCCAACTCCCTCGGCCCTAACGGACGAGAAAGACAGAACCAACTGATGAAATTCGCAACGCTCGCAGCTATTTCTTTCCACTCCGCAAATTATACGTATGCAGTATATAGATTGTGGACGAATATTTTTTTTCTTTTTTTCCAATCGCAGTATGTATTTCTGACAGTGGAAGAAAACAACTGGCAAAAGAAAATGGAAATTGTCTCTTTGGGGTTGGATATTTTTTACATGCAAACACACACGCAAATCACACAGGGATAAGGAAATAATAAGAAATCAATCTATAATGAATTTATATGTGTAACATTCAATTGAGGAATGTGTGTAATTGTATCTATATATATATATATATATGTCTGTATGTGTATATATATATGAATACAATGCAGTCCGCGAGTTAAGATACATTCTCCTTTTTCTACCATGGAAAAAAAAAATAAATTATTCTAGTTAATAAAAAAANTTTTTTCTTTGACGCCAATCATCCCGATGATCACCCACACGAATTATTTTTTATTTTGCCGTTCGCGAACGCCCATACTCTGTATAAACGAATTTTATTGTTGTGATGTGAAAAATAAACGTTTCAAAAATTCCAGAGGGTTTTGCTGATGAAATATCACGGTCGCTCGCCGTCTGTTGATCGTGCCTTTCAGTTTCAACAGCGACAGATATTGCCCGTTCCACGTCCTTCCGTAATTTCGTGAAACACCCGGGAATTATAGTTGCCGCATGCGTTGAAAATTCAGAAAAATGTATCGTTCGATCAACAAACGCGGCACAGTGTTCAAATTCGGTTGATAAAGAAACAAATTTTACAACGAGAGAGCGACTTATCGCGAAACGCTTATTTCTAACGCGCATATTTACATGTACAAGTCGCAGTTAAACTCGACTAGATAATTTACAATACTTGTCGGAAGGGTCGTCGAGAGAAAAGTTCGAAGTTGTTCCGGTTTCTTCTTTACCGGTGTTGGAAACGATCGACGAACGATCACGAAAACCACAGACGAGTTATATGAATATTTTTCATCCCAATTTTCATCAATCTCTCCGTTTTAAATCGTTCATTGATGAAGTAGCACTATGTTCAATTCTGTAAATAATTCTCGAAACGGATCCGTCCATATTTTTTGATTTTAATTCTCATCGCTAACTAATTCTAGCGCTGTGGTGCAAAACCTGTCCGAGTCGGTACGGCAGGATGTGACATGAAAGTGATAAGGGCGAGAAAATACATTGTACGTCTAATCGTTTGATTTATTTATATACCTCGTCTGTGATGAAAACGAACAGCAAAAGACAATGTAAATGCACGATTGCAGGATCGATGATCCGAAAAGTTCGCGGTCGTTCGTATTTGGGGCAGTTGTTGGCAAAAGTTGGCGGCTTCTCGATCAAAATTCCATCGTATCGACCGAGTGGGACTGGCGTTACGTCGGTCTGAGCGCGCTCACCATGTCGCCCAGCAGTCGTTCCACGCTCACATCCCCTACCGTCGGCTTGAACAACAGTTCTTGCAAGGTTGATCGACAGAGTGCACGCGCAGGTGGTAACAGCAGCAAAAGTCGTCCAACCCTTCGTGCCTCCCTCTCGCAGAATACAGTCACCGTTTGTTCTTGCAACGCTGCTATTCGTCCTGGCTCGCACAATCCTCGCGACTCTAAACGAACAACGATTTCTTCGTTTATCTTTTCGTCCGGAGTTTTTCATCTTTTTGATAACAAAAATTTTTTAAATTTTTACCTACAAGCTCCTATTTGAAAATCTTTTATTCGGAAGCTTTCGTTTCTAAATTTTTACTTGGAATTTTTACTTGGCTTCTGTTTGGAAATTTTTGTCCCTAAATTTTTCATTTGGAAGTTTTCATTTCTAAGTTTCTTTACCTGGAAGCTTTTATTGGGAAATTTTTTGTTTCTAAATAACGTTTCATTCATTTTTCGTTTTTACCTCCTTTGAAGAGGACTATGGCCTTCAAGCAAGCGTATTCGGAATGATCGACCCTGAGGAGGGCACACTTTGCCAGTAACTCCCTCAGCTTCCTCACTTCCTCGACCAGCGTTTCCTTCCTCTCGGGCGGCAAATCGTTCGGTATCAGGGCGGACTCTTCGACCGGGAAATTCCACTGCGCGGCGGTCAGCACGAAAAGCTCGCTCCAGGACTCCTCCAGTAGAATAGTCTGGTCCCTGTAGGGCAGCTTGAAACAGACGAGCAAACATTCTTTCCGTTAACGCGATATCGTTGACGACCAAACGCGTCAGAAACGAATAGTAAGAAATGAATACTTGTAAGAACGAGTGGATGCTTCTCGCCCATCTGACAGCGAAGAACAGCAGCTTCGCCGCAAATTCGTAAATATTCTCCGTCGGTAAAATAGAGAAACTGGACACGTTGTAGTCCGCGGAACCAGAGTTGGCGATGGCCGGTGCCAGCCGAGTACTCGTCAACTCCTCTGAAAGATGCAGGAATGACGATCGTGCATCGTTTGATCGAAGAATCAACGCGGATGTTCTTACCCTTCGGTTCGATTCTCGCTTCGATCGGTCCAGCTTCCTCGGAGCTCGTCACCTCGTCCTCTTTCGCCGTGTTTACAGTCAGCGGCTCTGTCGGCGAGCGTGGCAGAAAGTGCGCTGGAAATTCAAGATCTTGGTCAATTTTCGAGATCAAACTTTCCGCAAAAGATTCTCAGGATCACTGACGAGGTATATGATCATATGATGAGATATAGGATTAGAGTTGTTTTCTTTTTTTTTTTTTTTTTTTTTTTTTTTTTAGAAAATACGACACAATCGTAAAGACAAAGCTGCATACAAATTATATAATATTTATAATTATATTTACGTAATAACTTATCATCTACATTGCTAAAAATTCAAGATGGAAATACTTTTTTAGAATCATAGAAGAGAAACAAATGCAGAGAATTATTACTCTGTTCTCAGAACACGTACAGTTTACACGTAATAACATGTATCGAAACATGATTAATAATACGCATCCACAGTGAGCAGAACTTCGAAGTTGACAGTCTGTTTTGTTTTTTTCTCGTATAAAAATGTTGGGAAACGATTGTTTGAAGTTGACGATAAAATTGCAATTTTTATAAATATAATATATCTATATATACGTAACTATACTTCTACGCTGGTTTCTAAAGTCAGAATCCCTTCGAAAAGAGATCTTTCATATTATTGCTCGTAGAAAAATTCATTTGCAATTAATATGCAACAATTGCAATTAATATTAACACGACTTACGCGCCACGTTAGACGACTATTAAATAATATTAACACGACTCACGTAGTTACGATAAAACTGGATGGCACAGAGCGAAACTTCGAAGTTGCTACGATTTTTACAAAATTGAACGTCCAATCACAGACAATGTGTATACATATATCTCGTCCAATCATGTATCTCGTCTGTGGTCGATGGGTGATGAAACAGAGATAGGTTAGATTTCACTTACCGACCGATGGCGTGAAAACCGACATTGTCGGCTTGAAGGGGAACAGCGCAGGATACAGAAGAGGATGATAAGGATTGCTCGCCGCGTGGTAAACGTGCGGGATCGCAGGGTACAGTCCCGAGGGGCCTCTTCTCGCCGCCGCGACCAGGGACGACGTATTCCGTGGAGCTCTCTCGTGCTGCACCGCTGCGAGTATCATGCTCTCTTAGTACTTCGCATTCAGTTATGCATTCGTCGACGAGACGAGCAAGTTACAGCTTGCTCTATTCGCTGTGGAGAAATATCGTCGCATCGCTACGATATTTTAATTACTTACCGTTCAATTTGATTGATGCACAGACGAGGTATTTGACCTTCATATATAAATGTATATCAAAGATATATTTTTTTTTTTTTGTTTTATATTAGCCCTTTCGCTACCGTCTTTTCATATTAAATATTTATATATTTGTATTAACCCTCTTGATCATTTTTGTTGAACCGACTGCTACGTCACGAGTGTACAGTTCATGTGCACGCGGCCTTTTTCGGGTTTGTTTGCTAACACCTTAAAGATTTGCTTTCATGATATTTTTCTTAATAGGAAATTTGTTTTGCACCTCGAGTAAGACTTTACTCCTTTACATACAGTGACGTCATGCGGGCCGAATTGAATTTCATTAATTTGTTCTTTCGTCATTTTTTATCAACTTTGTTTGCAAGTATCGTGTCTGTGACATTTTGCAGCATTACATGCAAGAGTGTAAAAACGATCTTTGTCATGTTTACGCAAATATTAAAATGAAGTGTCATTTTTTGGTTATGTTGAGTTTCATTCAATTCATGTGTCAAGGAGTTAATAATGAGCATTGAAATAAACGTTCGTGAATGTAATATTTAGAAAGTTATATCGTTAACGTAATAACAATTTTCATAATAAGCTTTTAACGCTAGAACTACCTAGAGATGGTCAAAATGACTGATTTATAATTTTCGTTGGATGTATTACAGATGCAAAACAATGTATTTTTAGAGATCTAAATGATATTTTTTTAATGAAACACCTAAATAAAAGTTTGCCAATTCTGTTTTGTATTTTTCACTTTAACTCTGACAAAAATTCTATATTTTAGTCGAGGGGTGGCCAAACTTTTGTACCCTACGTGCCAATTTCTTTCTCAAATGAGCTTCGACGCGCCATTCTGCTAAATTGTTTTAACAACAAAAACGTGTTTGCAAATAGTAAACATACAAGAAGGACATTAGAAAAAGACGAAACAACTTACTCTAACAAATAACAATAATAACAATAGTATCTTGCTCTAAATAATTTGCACCATGTGCCACCAGAAATCATAAAATGCGCCACTAGTTGGCCACCCCTGCTTTAGTCCTCGGTAGTTCCTAGTGTCGATAGCAATATGTATATACTGTGTGACTTGTTTGGAAAGAGTGACTCGCACAAAAACCTGACTTTGCACCACGATTCGCTTTTTTCTTCTTCTTTTTACTGCTTCTCACGTCTTACTCGCGACTTACTCGCCCCCGTGGCGTGTGAAGAACATTCAATGCTCAACGACAGTAAGCCAAAGGATTAAACAGCATTTTCAAGTAGAACGAGAAGGTACCAACTGTTTGAAAAAAAATATGAAACTATCTCGAAAAATTGGACGAGTGAGCAGCATCCCTCAATTCACAGATGTTTCCGCCTCACAATCAGTCACACCCGATCGATTTCGCATGTATATCTTTTTTTTTTTTTTTCATTCGCGGTCCGACGAGGGACGACGAGAGCACGGCCCTCCCCCCGACTATAATTGATATCTCCGCGCAGTCGAGTGTTTGGATTGTCCCGGCTGGGGTCGGGCTGGAAGTGTTTGGAAAACCTGTGAACGTCAGGCTGCTCGTGACACCATTGCTTAACTTCCCGAATTCTCGCGTCGAGCAAGCACGAATATAGAATTTCATGTGGGTGCGAGCCTCTCTCTCCCGGTTCGCCCCGTGAAGTTTGGTGCTTCTCCGTTTCTTTGTCGAACGACGAGAAAGAAAAAAAATTGCAATACACTGGATGTTGGCTCGTGTATTTACGAAAACGGGGAAGGTTGTCGGTGCCCTGTCATCCGCAAGTTCTCGCGCAGACGAGCCGTCGCGTCGTCGAACGTTAAGGCGGAGCTAATTTTCGCCGGAAGATTTCTTCGTTACCGGCGATGCACGTCGAGGGAACGAACATCGAGAAGACGACGATGTAACACTTCGAAACGACTGAACTCGCGACTCGTATGGTATTGGCCAAAAAGTAATTGCGTTCATTTTTTTTTTTTTTCCTAATAGATGTATTTTTTTTTTTTTCTACAGACTTACTCTTTGGCCAATTTAGTGCAACGATTACCTGCGGAGCAATTCACCCGATTAAATCTACGACCCAACGAAACACAACCTTCGCTCTTAAGTCTCGATTTTAGAAGAATGAAAACGTAATGACCTTTGAAGCGAAGCGTACCATCTCGTTTCATGTTGACCTGCAGGCACTTGGTGAACCGGCATGCCTGGCACTGATTGCGCCGAGAAACGTCCACGATACAGCGACCGTTCTCCTTGCAAACGTAATCGAGGTTTCTGCGCAATGTCATTGGATGTTATTGTAGACAATTGATCATACAGGGTGGACCAAATGTTTCTTCCCTATTTTTTTTTCTCTTTTTAATAAAACATCAAAGTATAAGAAAAAACTAATTTCATTGATTTTATTTAAGTTAAAATCAAGTTTATTAATTTTAGATCTTTTGTGTATTTTGATCTGTGGAGGAAATATGTGATAAAAAAAAGTTAGGCCCACCCTGTAGAGTTACGTGGACTCTGTTGAACAATAGCTAAACAAACGCGTACGAGTGATAGCAAAACAAGGAATGTATTAAGGAGGTATTCTGGTGTGAAATTTTAAAATCGATTTTTTTTTTTTTTTGCATATTCTTAAAGGATACAATTTCAAACCTTACTATGTGAACTCCTAAAATTAACAAAGTTATGGGTGTCTTGTTACCGCGATACTAAACTTTAAAGGCATTTTTCTGGGGAAACTATGTTTTTCAGAACGGTGTCCATGATATCTCAACATCTACTTGACCAATTGAATCAAAATTTCAAGTACGCATTTAGTACATGACTAGAGTCAACCAGAAATTTTTATTTTTTTATATTTCTTTAGGCCTGCGAAGTGTGACGAAAACACACAACAATTTTTTAATTACCGACGTTTTCCTTTTGTTCCAGTTCCAGCTATAGCCAAATCCATACTAATTAAGAGACTGTCACGTTTTTTTTTATTTTAGACAAGCAGAATAGCCGGAATCAACCGTGGGATGACCTTTTTTAAAATTAACTATGTTCGAGAGTATGCAGTGACACTAATTTTAACTTTCTTTTGTTCCAAAAAATTTAAAAAATTTTAAAATTATATATATTATTATTATTACTATTATATATGTATTATTATTATTACTATTATATATATTATTATTATTATTATCGTTGAAATACCTGCAAATAATCCTTGCCAATTTGACTGCAAAAACGTACAATAGTTTCTTTGCAAAAAAATTTCCAAACAAAGTTAAAAAAAAGCACGCACTTCACACTAGAATAACGCACCCTTAACGCACCGTGTGTGCGCTCGATCAATTGATAAGAGTGGATTTTAATTCGTTACGAAATTAATTACCTTGCATACCTGCGGATCGACCGCTTGAAAAAGCCGCGGCACCCGTCGCAACTCGGCACCCCGTAGTGCTTGCCAGACGCCTTGTCGCCGCAAACTTTGCACAAACTTTCGCCACGGCCGTTGTCCTCCATCCTTTCCTGAAACTCTGTCATAAAAATGCAGTTAGGGGAATTCCATCGCGAGGCAAAAGCTACGTACGAAAGCTGATCCAACGTTGTTCGAAATTCGTACTAACGTGCTAACAATAAATTACGAATTTTCTAGTGTAATTTCTACACCTTCGATTTCAAGGTCAACAATTTTTTTTTTTTTTTTTTTGTATTACGCTCGAAGGTGAAACTTTTCCAAGCAATCCAATATATAGGTCGCAGCCCAATAGTTCTCTCGAAAAATGCTTTGGAAGAAAGCTTTCTCAGTCATTCAACATTGCGTCCTAACAGCGACTTTATGATTCTGGACGCGTGGATACCTATGTCGCGTCAATGTTTATACTATCGAATAACGTTAACAGTTTTTTATCACTTGATTATTTAGACACGCACTGATCCAGCAACTATGACGAATCAATTATTAGTGAAACCTGGTCCAGCAGTAAAGTCGCTGTTAGCACGCACGCGTCCGCAACGTTAAATGATTAAGAAAGAACTTTTCTCAAAAGAACTATTAGGTGGCTTACTTGTGGTTCCTTGGGAAAAAAAAAAAGAAAGTAAAGATTTCGACCTTGAAATTCAATGTCAGGGTCAATTCCGCGACAGTTTATCCTTTACACGTATTTGAATCGAAGGATGAATAGAATCCATCTATAACAGCCGCGGATTATACTTTTCTCTCAAGGAAAGATCCAACGATTGTTAAACGGTCGTTCGATCCTCTCAACGTCTAATCCATAGGTATCAAGTGTTATCGAGCAGTTCGAGCGATGAATAATTTCTCGTGAGGTCTTGACGACAAGTTTGGAAGAAAATCGCGCGTACGCGAAACCCTCCTCCAGGGCAAGGAGGAACTCGACGAGGAAGCGGAGGGGACGTGACTCCCGAGGTCGGACTGAAATATCCCAAGTAATGCTTCCGTTGACTTTTGCAACCCCTTTCCTCCGGCGTGGCCGCCGGTTGTTCTCCACCTCCTCCTCGTCCCTTTGGCCAGCCAGCGAGAGAGCTCCCTCTTCGTCGAGGCGCGACCCTGCCCCCGCGATCTCTCTCTCTCTCTCTCTCTCTCTCTCCTTCTCTCGTTCCAACACGAACTCCCGGCCACCTGTAGGGTTCCCAGGCTCAATAATGCATCGGTGACGTGGAGCATCGTTCAGGCTCGTCGGCGGTAAACCAGAGTCCTGGTGAATGATGCCACGGTTCGCCGCACCCTTCGTCTACCCGAAGACCAGCCTCACCGACACCGTCATTACCGTCGCCGCCATCGAAGAGGCGAGATCCTCTTGCCAGCAGCGGCCTGACTTCTTAACAGTCTGCCCATAGACAGCTACGAGGGGTGGGGGGGGGGGGGGTTGCAGACTGCTCGTCGTCGCATGTGAGCGTCAACCTGGCATAATATTTTCACTGCCCGATGACTTTTTACTTACTCGTTCGCCACCGCGGAAGCGTAAGTGTAATATCTCTCTTCCAAACGTGGTTTCCTTTCCGATCGTGATCTTCCTCTCCTCCCCGTTACGCTCGAGAGTGTAAAAATCCAGGCCACGGACGAGGCCTGTATGAACAGACCTAACGTGCAATTGTGCGTTTTGCAAGTGTCCTTCCAAAATGGGCTGCATTACCATTTTCGTGTCACGTCCTGTCGTACCGACTCGACGCGACAGGTTTCGCACCGCGGCATTTTTTTTAAATTAAAAAAATGTTGAACACAAATGTTGCCAGATCTGTCTCGAGGATTATTTTTATTAAATTGAATGGAGGTGGTGGCAGTTTATCAATGAAGGAACATAACGATTGAAAAGAGCGATTGATAAAACGAAATTGGGATGAAAAATTTGGTATATACTTCAGCCATTACAACATGTGTTTGAAAGAAACAAAATTGATTGAAATGTGATATTTTTATGAACAACAACAGTGTAAATTCACTAAGCCTGAAGTGAATTACCTTTATCCCCGCGAGCTCGACTTTATGAAAGGCTTGGACTTGTCAAGAAAGTATTTCCACAAATATTGTTTGGAGTGAAGAAGTACATTGCGTGCTCGAGGCTTCCAAGTCAAATTCATTTTCCTAAATGATACACTACACACGTCGTTCAGTCTAGTCGTGGGAATCCTGGCCTATGGAGCAAAAGTATGGGGATGAACGGAGAAAGCGGAATTAGAGAGAATACAGAGAAAATATATTAAATGGACGCTTGGTCTGGACATCAGACTACATAATCATGGAGAGAGAAACTGAAGATTAGATTGGCAAAAAGAGCGGTAGAGTATGAAAGAAGGATAGAAAGAGAAATAGAGGAAGGAATAGTCAAAGAGTGCATGAAAGAAAGGAAAGCAGGAAAAGGGAACCAAGAAAGAATAAGGGAAAGACAAGATCACCTGAAAACATGTGGTTTTAACCAGATGGGAGTAGAATACTAAGGAAAAGAGAAGTGAAAATACAAAGACAAAGACAATGGAATAGAATTCAGAAGACGAGATACAATTGGAAGTATAAGTATCTGGTAACAGGAAAACTACCAAAATACCTGAAGGGAAGAAGGAAAAATGAAGAGTAGAAGGTGATGGCCAGAGGAAGATGCGGCACTGTAGAAAATGGAAGTAAATTTTGGACCTAGCGAAGAAGAATAGAAATGTCAATTGTGCGAGGATTGGAAGGGAACGTTAGAGCATTGGAGAGACTGTAGAGAGATGGAGACAACAAATGCAAGTCTGGAAGAGATACTGAGTGAAGAAGGGTAAAAGTGGCTTAGGCGAATAGAAAGGAGAAAGAAAGATAAAGAGAGACAGGGAGAAGAGAAGAAGAGATTAGATCTAGAAAGAAGAGAGCCACAAAATAAACATGAAATAAAATGAAAGAATTAGGTTAAGATAGTTAAGCAGACAAAAGGATAGCATAGCTAAGATAAATATAAGTGTAGGATAAAGTAAATATCATAACATGTAAATATCATAACATGTAGGATAAATGCAATGCGAACTGTGCAATGTAAAAACAAAAGTCAATTTCAAGCTTCCAAAGAGGCTGAAATAAATATATACATACACTACACACACGTCGTTAAGACGAATTCACCGAGTTGCATTTGACTTTTGAAAATGACCACTCGCAAGAGGCAAACTGACTGCTTCTGAGGATTTCGAGTCCTTTGGTGTTTGGAGTTTGTGTCGAGATATTAACGTTTGGAAACGTTTCGTTGTTAAAACACAGGGGGGGAGGGGTTACAGGGTAAAAGTCGAACGGCGTTGCTAAATTGTCAGTTTGCCGGCGTGCAGTTACACGCACCGGGCGGATTGTTTAACCCTGTTTACACGAACACCCACCGCACGCAGGTAACATATGTCGAGCATTACTTAAACACGAGCAATCTGGCTCGACCGCAGAGTGAGTCAAGTCTCTCTGTTCTCTGAATCCTTGAAAATTTTCACCACAAACGTTGGACAGAATTTTCCTCCAGGGGCCATTATTTTTCGAGGGGCGATTCCGAGCCCATCGATCACCGCGAAAACTTTGATAAGCTCGTCACTGTGCGGCGGGTTGCAACACTGGCGGGTTAATGTCGGCCCAATGACTTTTCGATAGTTCTGCCCGGCGATGAAAGAAAGAAGCTCGACACGGGAAATTCGTCCCGAGTGTGCGTTGGAAATTCGACCGGCAACTCCTCATGCAAATTTTTCCCTCGTCACGTCACATGCGTTCTTTCGCATAAAAAATGCTGATGGATCGACCGCCAACAGCGGTCTCGGCGTGAATTTGAAATTAGCCCCCGGACGTAAATATTTTTTTCTTTTTTTTTTTTCGTCTTTCTTCTTCTGTCTCCATCGACTTTGACAGTTTGAGATTCACCAGGAATAAATAATAAACAGAATTTTTCGTGGAACGAGCGAATATTTTTATCCATCCCATGTAGATCTCTCATTCTATTTGCTCTTTCTTTTTTTTTTCTTTTTTTTTTCAGAAATGAAACAGCGTCGAAGATGTATCTGGACTCCTCCACCCCTTTCGTTCGTGTTGATCATGTCGATTCTGTCCATCGTTCAAGCACACCGGAAAGTTCGAGGGAGGGTTGATTGAGAAAAAAAGCACGTGACGTTGAATATTATTTAACAGGGGGCTCCGCCACACCTTGCTGACTAACTCTCACTTTCTCGTGTCTTCAAAGTTATCTATTTGTCTCTCCGTTCCAGTCGTATAGTGTCAAACTACGATGCGATGCTTAATTAAATAAATAAATAAATAAATAAATAAGAAGGGATTAATTAAATAGTGAAATAAATATAATAATTGGGAAGGGATTAATTAAATAATTAAATAAATAAAAAAGTAAATATTTAATTTTAATTAAAAATTAATAATATTAAATAATATTAAAAATATTTAAAATTAAATAATATTGAAAACTAAAAATATTTAATTTTAAATAAAAGATTAAATAATCGAATGAATAAAAAGGGACTAATTAAATAAATAAAAAAAGGGATTAAATAATCAAATAAACAAGAAGAGCTTGATTAAATAATTAAATAAATAAAAAGGATGGTTTTACGGTTCTCTTTGGTGTTCCGGTATTTCCACAATATAGTTTCCAGCATAGAGCGAGTCATTTTTCTTCCAACCCCCTCGTGGCGAACATCGGAGTTGTCGTCAATTTTTCAGGAGTTCCGCGTAAATATTGTCGTTAGGTTATACCACCCCTGACGTGACTTTTGTTGTCCGAAAGGGTTTGACTGCAATTAGAAGATTCTGAATAATTAATCGTCACGCTGCAATCGTAATGACAGCGTTGGCTCGCGTTATGCCGCTGTTCATCTTGCCTATTCGACAACAATCTCATCAATTTTCAATCGATTCTTCGTTGTTCGCTGTACGTATGTATGTACATCCCCTCTTGCACTTAAAACGTTTATACTCCGTTGCGTTGAGAAGTGATATCAGCGAGCTGAAAGCTCGATCATTGCTTTTCTTTATACCACCGTGATCTATATAATCTATTTTCCATTGTCGTATTATTATTTTCATTATTTTTATATCGTATTTGTTATTATTGTATTATTAATAACGTAATATATTTTCGTATCATTTCCATTTTGGTTGAGAGCGATATCAAGCGAACTAAAAATTCGATCATTGCTTTTTTTCGTACGTATTACTGTGATCTATGATCTATTTTTTATTATTACATTACCGTGTCATTTTTTATTATCACTTAAATCAATAATATTAATAATATAATAATAATATTCTTCTCATTAACAATATGATAATAATATTTTTTCGTATCATTTCAGTGTCAACGAGAGAGAGAAAGAGAGGAGAGTCAACTTGTCCAGGTGGCTGAATTCGACTCTTAACCACTTGCGCTGGCAACTGATTGCGGACCATAACGAGTGACCGAACCGTATACAAGAATTCGTCGCTTTCTTTTTGAACTCGTCGGTACGATGTCACTGGATGGAAATTATTGAGAAGTAATAAATTTATTATTTGTTTTGCTTTTCTTTACAAGATTACATTAATTTCTATTAAATAAACAAAATTATATTAGTTTATATTAACTTTTAACCACTCGCGCTGGCAACTGATTGCGGACCATAACGAGTGACCGAACCGTATACAATTCGTCGCTTTCTTTTTGAACCCGTCGGTGATGATATCACTGAATAGAAATGATCAAGAAGTAATAAATTTATTACTTGTTCTTGCCTATTTTGTTTTACTTAAATATACCTGAAACTGAGAAAATATTGTAATTTTGGGGACAAGAAATTCTTGACGTGCGTGGCACGTCATTCCAGCGCAAGAGGTTATATTGCGCTGGCAACCGATTGCGGACCATAACGAGTGACCAAACCGTATAATACAACAATTCGCCACTTTGTTTTTGAACTCGTCGGTACGATATCACTGGATAAAAACGATTGAGAAGTAATAAATTTATTATTTGTTCTTGCCTATTTTGTTTTGCTTAGATATACCTGAAACTATTGCAATTTTGGGGACAAGAAATTCTCGACGTGCACGTCATTCCAGCGCAAGAGGTTAAACCGATTTTAATTTGGCGGTAAACGCGTAGAATTACACTAGTGACCAACAGTCGACGCCGAAACTGACTAGCTACGAAGTTCGAAATCTGGTCAGCTATGAGGTCACTACTGTAATTATGGTCGTGCACGTGCACACTTCACACGATTGACAGTGATTGCGTGATTCTCTCGTGCATGCGGTGCACGACACTTGTATACAACATGGAAAGGCCCGTGATTTCGCGTAACAGATACGATACGTTTTCTAATGACTTCGTGATACCGGCTGAACAACTGGTGCGCGACTGTTCCATTATCGACTCTGTTCCATTATCGAGACTCTTCCTGTATCCGGAATCCGCGTTTCTCTTAACATTCGTATCAACGAGTATCAGATTAATTTGACAACACAGATAGTCTGCGATAAGATGATGGTATCTATATTTTGAATACGATTATCGTTTTCTTTTTCTTTTTCTAGGTTAGGTTTGTCGTTATTTCTCGCAATAGCGTGATAAAAGCTTTGCTTCTCAACCAGTGGGTGTTCAATTTTTGAGATCTTTTGGGTCTCTCATTGGCCAACAAAAATTTGTCGAAGTTAGTTTACATATTTATTTTAGTTTATATTTCTTTTTTATCGGTTCAATGCAACCTATATCATTTGTGAGGATATTGAAACAACTTTTATAGCGATACATTGATTGGAAAAATATATTTGATGAAAAAAATATGAAAATTTTTAATGAGAACACCGAGCCTGTTGTTTAGATATCAGTTCATCAGTATTCGATTTGATACAGGTAAGAAGTATTTTCAAGATGCTCGTCTAGAATTTTTGTTCTTATTTTGTCTTCTATGTGCTTGATACAGGAAAAAATCTGTTCGCAAATACAGAGTGATTCACGCAACTTGCACACCTGAAATAACTTTTCAATTACGAGTCCAATGAAAAATTGTTTGTCACAAAAGTTGTATGTTTTTCAGGGAGGCAAAATATGCTAAATTTATTAAATATAATAACGCTAAATTTAAAAAAAGGTACGATTATTCATGGTTGAAATTATTCAAATAATAAATCTCTTATTCAATTATTCCAATGATTTTGGTTATATAGCGCGAGCCGCATGAACAGGATTGGGGCACACCTGTTCTAAACGATGTGTTATTTTTCGAATCGTTATTTTGCTTATGGGATATACTATCTTGCGGTTCCAACAAAGACAGAGGTTGGTTATAAAAATTTCTATCAGAAAGAGCGAAGAACGAACAGAAGTGAGTTTGAGAACAGAAGTCGAATTTTTGGCTTGAATACGAATATCTTTTTTTGGAAAAGGAGAGAACGTCGCCGTGGTATGAAAGAACATTGTTTGCCAGCAGTGGCACAAGGTTGCATCGAACATGTGTGGAAGTTTTTAGCAGATGTGTGGACCTGACGCAACAACGGCCATTAGAGGAGAAAGAGGCAACCCGTGGACGGACAATTACATGCCTCGGCGGCGGAAAACTGGGCTTACAGGTGTGTTTACACATGGGTAATCAACAACACATGCCACAGACTCTCGACGGAAGAATCGTCAAGCGAAGGAAACTTGACAATTCTTTTGGAATCCGAATTCGTTTCGTCGTCTCTTTCCAAGATTTACCGAGCAAATTATCTATTTTAAATGCTTTTACACTGAGTATTACACATGCTTGGTTGAGCATTGGTTCGTATGTACAAGGTAATTCAGGGTTACTTGCTCAACTTTGAATAATTTTTAAATTATGCGTCTAATGAGAAATTGTTTGATACAAATGTTGTATGGTTTTAAGGGAGGCGAAATATGGCGTATCAATTTTTTGTGTTGAGAAGTTTCGAAATTTCCAAGGTCATCTTTTTTTTTTTAATTGGAATATATTCTTTTTAATTAGAAGAATATTAAATTCCAAGTAAAAAAGTATTAAGCCACATTGGTCCTAAACGTGATGACTGAAGAAATATTTCACGAGAAATTTGTCTCGAGAATGAAAACTACATAGATCATTAGGACAATTTGCATGCATTAATATTCCGGACGTTGATGATCAAATTATCATGAAATATCTCCTTAGGTTAGGTAAACCATTAGGAGGCTCGATACTTTCTACACTAAAGATATTAAATAAAGATATTAAATAAAGTATGAATGAACATAGTGTGATATTTTATACGATGCTAATTTTGACAAAGAATTAAGAATGATTGGATGATCATTTTCTCTTGGACTGCAAAATACTACAATTATAAATGATAAAGATAAGCATTGGAATCTAATATTCTTGAACATGCGTTCAGAATTCTGGAAGAACACATTTGCAATTAAAATAATTGAAAAAAAAATGATTGAAGATTTTGATGGTAACGAACAAATTGTTTCATTCAAAATGATTAAATAATTGTGAGTTTCGCACACTGTCAAGAGATACTTTATCATCTTATTGTCAGACTTGCATAAGCTCTTCTGAAGTAACTATGATACAACATTGCTTCGTTAATATTTATCGACGCGTAATAGTTACTTATTCACTACAATAGTTTTACGATTAATATCCTTACCTTCAAACTAATCCTTTCGATTCTCGCTGGTGGCCTGCGGATTTTTGCGTCGCTTCCAGTCTTAAAATCTCGCTGACGAAATGGATAATGTGGCTTGGACGCGTCCGTGGAAATTTACGATTGTCGAATTCTGGACGATTTTTTACCGTCTCCGAAGATTCGCGAACTGGCGACGGTAGCCATTTTGCTTTCAGAAGCGAAGTGCGAGATCTTTCATCGAACTGGTACTACCCCTGTTATCGTTTCAAACGAGATTAATACTTTCTCGAATTTTGCCGTAACAAATTAATTTACTACAATAAAGCAACACGTATTTTTCAGCAAATTAATCGTCTAATTTTGGAAAATAGCATCGACGACACTCTGACCAATCTGTCGAATCCTAATCTGTTTCTACGTTCCCTTGATTGAAACCAAATATTATATTCGCTCAAGATATCGAGATGACGAATAAAAGAGATCATTTCTCGAAGCACACTCGTACACTCTCTCGAGTAACGTAAGCTCGAAAGTGAAACGAAATATCTCAATCTGTCTGATCAGTACCAGCGAAAATTCACTCAAATTTCAACTCGACAACAACAACAACAACAATAATAATAATAATAATAATCACTCGAACCTGTCGGTGTCCACGTTGGAAATCGACATGTTTTACGTTACGTTGCAGTACGCGAGTGCTCCTTCTCCGAGGTGGACAAAAAAAAAAAGAAAAAAAGAGAAAATTACAGATCGCGAGGATGATCTTCGTCGCGGGGAACTGCCCTACGAGGTCGTAGGTGCGCGACGAGGTGTACGCGTGATCTATGGCTCGCCAGTAGTTGCTGGTCTCTCTGTCGAGAGCTACAGAGGCGGCCAGATCTGGCCGTGTCGCCTTTGATCCGGGTTCGCGCCGGTTCACTTGGCCAATGAAGAAATTGCTGGCTCGGGGGTAGCCGAGGGTGACTGACGATTGGTCGGCAGGCGGGGCGTGTCGTTCGACGCTCGCGGTGGTTGCGCGAACACGGAGGGTCGCAACCCCTCTTGTCGGAGGGAAAGCTCCGCCGCTGCAAGCGCGAAAGTCAACTCATCGTCGACTCGCCCACCCCTCCCCGTCCTTCGTAGTCGAGGAGACTCGGAGGATCCCGCGGAGGTCTCTGTGCCCGCGAGGAAGCTCGTCGTTGTCGTCGTGCATCCCCGGCTTGTTTGACGACTTTCTGTCACTGGGTAAGGTGTGTCTGACGGGGGAATGCGATCCGGCAGCACCCGAGGGATGAAATGGCTCCAGCCATCGCGCTTTAATGCCTACCACTTCGGTACGTTCCGTATTTCTCGTTTCATTCGATAACTTTCTTTTTTTTTTTTTTTTTTTTTATTGCGATCGTAATGCAGGGTTATTTTCATACTTAGCACGTTGTGAATCATGGTACGTTTTAACATGGTTAATATGGTATAATATCGTAGTATATTTTAGAATACGGTATAGTGCGATATTGTATAATATGTTGTAGTATAGTATAGAATGGTATACTTGGAAATAACATGCATAATATGCTGTAATACAGTATAGTATGCTGGTATAATATGTCGTAATATAGTTCAATATTGCACAGTAAGTTATAAGGTTGCATAATATGTTATATTATTGTTCAATATGTTGTAATGCATTTCATAGTATAATATGGCCGTAGTTACTCCAACAAACAATTAGAATTAGATGTGCTTCTAATTAGAGTAATCAAAAGTCATAATTTCATACTTAGCACCTTGTGAATCATGGTACGTTATAACATGGTTAATATGGTATAATATCGTAGTATATTTTAGAATACGATATAGTGTGATATTGTATAATATGTTGTAGTATAGTATAGAATGGTATACTTGGAAATAACATGCATAATATACTGTAATACAGTATAGTATGCTGGACCGTGCAACATGGTATAATATGTCGTAATATAGTTTAATATTGCACAGTAAGTTATAAGATTGCATAATATGTTATATTATTGTTCAATATGTTGTAATGCATTTCATAGTATAATATGGCCGTAGTTACTCAAACTCCAACAAACAATTAGAATTAGATGTGCTTCTAATTAGAGTAATCAAAAGTCATAATTAGATTCACTCACCAAGTTTCAATACTTGTAAAAGAATGCAGAAGCGCCGATTTTCATACTTTGTCCAAAAACGAAATACTACGCGAAAGAAACTTGTGTCTTCTTTGAAATGTTTTTGTTACCGCCACATCGAGAAGAGTTTAAGAGAAAAAAGGGAAGAGTTGACACCGATCAAAATGACCAATTTGTAATTTTATGCAAAACAATGTTATTTTTAAAGGTTTAGATAATATCTCGTAAAACATATAAATGAAAGCTTTGTATTGTATACACACTCCAAAGTTTCTCTATTTATTGACTTCAGTGTCTCCTCAATGGAAATTTTATGCACATGTATTTATTTTGTATATGTATCCTATAGAAATTTCATATATTTACTTTATATGTGTTTCAACCGTCGGTGATTCCATCATTAAGAGAAAAATTTCAGATACGATATCACCTCAAATTTATATTATTTAATACAACAAATGTATACAAATGTAAGCTCAGAAAAGTCCACTCGGAGCGGAGTCTCTGACAGAGACGTTTCCTCACGGAGGCTGAGCTTCTGAACACATTTCCGTCAAGCTGGTGCTCTCTGGTTTATGCAATTTTCAGAAAAGCGACAGCGTGAATGAAACGTTAGCGAGAGACACCTGTGCGTTTCGCACGGTGCAGACGGTGTTACGAGAAATGGTCGTAATAACCACCCAGCCGTCTCGTTGAATATTTCATTCATTGTTCGCTGAAAATCAATGATCGTCATCTCTCCATGCGTTTGCTATAGCTGTGCCTACTGATCGCTAATTTGCATAATTCGCGCCGTTGGAGTAACTTCCGAAATAGGCGAGATAACGACGAACAGCGAATAGCAATGAAACGTGACGTTTCAGTTGTCGCAGACAGTTATTTTATCGGTAAAGAGATACGAGATACTTTCTAACATTCAGATGCAAAACTTTTTAACTTTTCACGCACGGCATTAATTAAAAAAAAAATATATATATATATAAAATTTTAACAAACAATCAAAATTTTAATTAACTACTTGCGCGGACAACTGATTGCGGACCATAACGAGCGACCAAACTGCATACAATAATTCGTCGCTTTCTTTTTCTTTTGAACTCGTGTCGATATGATATCACTGGATAGAAATAATTAAGAAGTAATAAATTTATCATTTGCTTTGCCTAGATTGTACTTAAATATATTTAAAACTGAGAAAATGTTGCAATTTTTTACAAAAAATTGTCGACGTGCGTAGCACGTCGTTTCAGCGCAAGAGGTTAAGTTGCGCTGGCAACTGATTGCGGACCATAACGAATGACTAAACCGCATACAATAATTCATCGCTTTCTCTTTGAACTCGTCGGCACGATATCACTGGATAGAAATTATTGAGAATAAATTTATTATTTGTTTTGCCTATTGTGTTTTACTTAAATATACTCAGAACTAAGAAAATATTACAATTTTGGAACAAAAAATTCTCGACGTGCGTGGCACGTCGTTCGAGCGCAAGAGGTTAAGTTGCGCTGGCAACTGATTGCGGACCATAACGAATGACTAAACCGCATACAATAATTCGTCGCTTTCTCTTTGAACACGTCGGCACGATATCACTGGATAGAAATTATTGAGAATAAATTTATTATTTGTATTGCCTATTGTGTTTTACTTAAATATACTCAGAACTAAGAAAATATTACAATTTTGGAACAAAAAATTCTCGACGTGCGTGGCAAGAGGTTATATAAATATATATAATTTTTACAAACAACACATTTCTTCGTATTGTTTAAAAGAAAGTACTTTTCGCAAAGTATTCCAATTTTTTTTTTTTTTTTTTTTTAATAGAGCGGCAGAAAAATGTTTGAAAGGGTAGGAAATTGAGATTAAAAAATTAAGATAAAAATTAAAAGAGAAAAGAGAAAAAGGCAGATGGGAAAACTTAATTTCCAGCGCATCGGTGCGATTCCGTCGGGGGTAAAGTAAGCGGTCTGCACTTGATAGGTCGAAGGATCCGTAGCGATTCTGAAGTGCCTCCTCGACGTGGCAGGAGCAGAAAATCGCGTTGAAGTGGCAACGGTCGGGCTAATGGTTCGGAGACGATATTTTGTTAAACAAGGAAACCTTTTATCCCCCGTACCATTTCTTGGACGAACGCTCCGGGGACAGGGACGGGGCTCCGTTTCAAAAGAACTCGACTTCCATTCACCCTCGACCTGTTGTTAACCCCCCACCTCCCTCTGCACGCCGCGAGTTTCATTAAACTTATTTATTTACGCAGCTACTTCACCTTTTTCTGTAAATTCATCGTATTTACGGGAATTTTCGAATTTATTTACATCATTTCGAACAGACTCACCTTTTTCTTTATCTTGACTTGATTCGAGTCGATTAATTTCTCAGCTGTTTATATTATATAATATTATTATTATTAGTGTTTATATAATATATCATATATTATATTATAAATTGCAAATCACTGTCCAATAGGATGAAACAAGCGACGAATCTTTCGATACGGAAGCAGAGTGGGTGGCGATAAAAGCGGCCCTGTACCCGTCACTTTGGTTTTCTTGTCGCGAGAGGAGAACGAGCTGGAAGTGTGAACCGTCGACCACCACGACAAGATACCACCTGCTCTTTCTCACGGTTCGCCCACGCATATAGCGCCGTTGCTCGCGAATTCCTTCGATCCCTTCTGGCCTGAATCACTTCTCACTTTCTTCTCACACAGCCCTTCTCGCGTAGATGCGAATCAATATCGCTTTCGCGCAACTATCCAGCCAACTCTTGCGGAATTTTGTCCGTGGCAAGCCTCCACTGACAAGTTAATTCAATCTCTCTCTCTCTCTCTCTCTCTCTCTCTTTCTCTGCTCGTTTCGAGCAAATGATGCATGATGGGCAGAGGGGAGTGTGACTTACAATTAGGTTAGGTTTGGGCAAGTCATTTTTTACTCGTTATCCAGACGCTCTGAATGTTTTGCCCCTTTCATACTTTATATTGTTCTTTTCTTCTTTTATTTCTTCTTTGAACAGAATCGTATCATATTTTCGCGACCTTCTGAAAGAAATAACAAGCGAAAAAGATAAATACAGATATTTTTGTAGCGAAAAAATTCGATTAGAAAAGAAAAAAGGATAAAAAAAAATATGGTTCCGACCGGGATCGAACCGGCGACCTTCTGCGTGTAAAGCAGACGTGATAACCGCTACACCACGGAACCGATGTATTAAGTTCTTCCTCTGTATATTACAAGCCGTATAATTTTTTCTTTTGTTTACATTATCAAACAAACAAAAATAACAAAAGAATTCAGAGGCGTTTAAGATAAATGTTACAAAGCAAGGCGAAAATTGTAAAACTGGGAAGAAGTCGACGAAGGAGTGTTACCTGTTATTGCATTTTATTTATAAACGTGTGAAAACGTAAGTCACGTACTCGTGGCAGTGATTACAGTAATTATTATCATATACACATTTATTATATAAATAACAATGTTAACGTTGTATATTACAACGATGTTTATATTCTACTGGCACTTTTCTATTCTTCCGAATGTTTAGATTCGAAGAGAATAATGATAATATAAGTACATGAGAAAAATATAAGTAAATGTTCTCACTATTGGCAAAGGATAAGTTCAAACGATTAATAAATTATCTGCTGGTTACGTTGATATTGCGATAACTGAGGGAAGAAAGTTAGTAGAAAACAATTATCGATGAATGTTGTACAATAACGTTTCAGTCTTCAGTTAGCCAATACGAAGTTCGACAATTCGATCTACTTGAAACAAATTGGCCCAACCGTGAAACCAAACGCCTGATGCGGCAATCCATAGTCGACTGGGTAAAAGTCTATCAACGGTAACTGTTGCAACTTTCTGCTCTGAACCAGAAGCACCGTTTCCCCTTTGCTCTTGCGGGTTTTACAATTGTCTGTTACGATTTGCGGATTGATCCCAGTGTACGAAAATTCATCTTCGTTCGCGCCAAGCAGCCGTAAAGAGGAATTGTAATTAAAGTCCAAGACGTTGTACCAACCGAAGCTATTGATGCAGGTGTAAGTGAAATTCTGATAGGCATCTTGACTCAGTAAACGCAGAAAGTTTAATTGTACTGTTCCAATTGTTTCGTACGTAATCTGTAACATAACGTTCTTTATATTTTATTTTTATACGTTTATATTTATTATATTTATTTGTATATATTTCTAAGTCGTTGCGTTACAAGTGAATATTTTGCTTTCCTTTACTTTGTTTTCTTAAGCTTACCTTGAATCCTCCGCGCAAATTCGAATACCAATCGGTTTTGTTATTTTCCTTTCTCCACGGTATATTGGGCATTTGACTGGTGTGAGTGTCAGGATACACGCAGGTTTCACCCATATTCGTCATGTTGCAATACACGTATACGGAGTCGTCAGCCATTCCTAAATTTGGATCGATCCAGTACCAACCTGTTGTATACAGACACAATTAGAAATCATCGAATACAACAATCGAGTGCAATTACTGACCATCGTGAAAGTGAGGATGACCGTAAAATAAATCTTTACAAGTTCGTGCAGGATTCTCCTTGCTTCCGATTGGTTTTCGTATTCGATCCAATTCTTGTCTCATAGCGTATATAGAACTGTACATATCCAAGAATTTGGGACCAAATTCCTCTTTGATGTGATCGTCCTTGTTCAATGTTTCTGAATTCTTTTCTTTCTCGTCTTCCTCGTTTCTACAATCATTTATACAGCGTCAAAACAATACGTATACGTAAATATAGATATCAAACATACAAGGGAGTGTTTCAACTGTCTTACGTGTCTGTCGAAATATCACGTCTCCTTCGCAAAATTTGTTCTCTCGTGAACAACAATTCCGGAGGGATCATGGGTTGTTCTGCAGGTGGTCCAGGAGGGCCTGGAGGTCCCGGAGGGCCAGTTTCGCCTTTTGGTCCATCATTCCCGGCATTTCCTTTAAATCCAGGCGGTCCTTCCATTCCAGGAAGCCCTGCAGGCCCATCGTTTCCTTTAAATCCTGTTAAACCTGCTGGCCCTTGGTTGCCCTTGGGTCCTTCAGCTCCTGGAGCACCTCGTGGTCCTTGTTCTCCTTTCTCGCCCTGTTCTCCTTTGACTCCGACCTGTCCCAATTCACCTCGATGTCCTTTAGGCCCTCGTTTACCTCTGTCACCCTTTGGACCTTTCGGACCAATCGGTCCAACCTTTCCTGGAGCACCGACAGCACCTGGCATTCCTGGTGGACCATTTTCTCCAGCAAGTCCTGGCAATCCTCTTACACCTGGCAAACCAGACGGTCCTGGAAAACCCTGAGGTCCTGTGGAACCAGGAGATCCCTGTGCTCCAGACAGACCCACGTCTCCTTTTTCGCCCGGTAAACCTGGACTTCCTTGCACACCCGCTGGACCCTCGGATCCCTAAATAATCAATTAATTCTCACGATTGCTTCAAGGACTGCTATCTGTGTCTGGAACGAATTTTTAATATCTATCACTGTACAGATTGTAATGTTATATACTTGTTTTCCAGGAGGACCAGGTAATCCCTCTTTCCCCGGAGGACCAACTTCTCCTGGTAGTCCAGGATCTCCCGGTTTACCATCTTCACCATCCCTACCAGGCTCTCCTTTTGCACCGATTGGTCCCGGTTCTCCTGGAGGTCCAGGAAAACCAGGTGATCCTGCATTACCTTTCGGCCCTTCTGGGCCATTTATACCACGACTACCAGGTGGTCCTGGAGGACCACTTTTTCCTTCTTCTCCTTTTGGACCTGGAGGGCCCCTTTCACCCTACGGTGAACACAATTTCGCTACGTAATAATGAAACATTACGTAGTACGTACAAACAGTCGTTTGTTTCACCATGTTTCTATTGAAATAATTATAGAATCGTTTCTCTTACTGGTTTTCCTTCTGAACCTATTAGACCTGGAAGTCCTGGCGTTCCTGGCTCTCCTTTTTGTCCTTGACGACCTTCTGGACCTGGAGGCCCTTGTAAGCCTTCAGATCCTTTAGGACCTCTCGGACCTTGTCCACCTGGATTTCCTACCGGTCCCACAGGACCAGTCATACCAATGTCTCCCATTTCTCCTTTTAATCCTGGTGGACCAGGCAATCCTTGCGGCCCTACGGGACCGGGAGGACCTGACGCACCAACGGGACCATCCTCGCCTTTTGGCCCTTGTCTTCCAATTTCTCCAGGTGGTCCTTTTTCACCTGGTAAACCGATAACACCAGGTTCACCTCGAAGTCCTTGTATGCCAGGCGGTCCTGGAGGACCCTGTCGAAAATAAATCGCAATTGAGATTTTATTTTCGTACTTTCGTACGATTAGAATTAAATTCTGCTCACTGTCTCTCCTTGAAATCCTTTGAATCCTTTTTCACCAGGTGGTCCAATATCTCCTTTGTCGCCATCTTCTCCTGGAACTCCAACGGGACCGGGAGGACCTGGCAAACCACGTTGTCCTTGTAGACCATCTCGTCCAGTAGGGCCGTTTGGTCCAGGCTCGCCCTGATATTACACGTTATTTAATATGATTTGTAATTTCAATATCTCTTTCTTAATGGCAAATTAATAATAGTTACTCTATCGCCTTTCAATCCAACTGGCCCGGGTGGTCCATTTGGTCCCTGGTTTCCTCGAGGTCCAGGTTCGCCATCTTTTCCAGACTCTCCTTGAGCACCTTTATCGCCTGACGGACCTTGTAACCCAGGTAGTCCTATTTCTCCTTTTACACCTGGCATTCCCTGTTTCATAGAGAAAGATTGTAAATTTCAGAAACCTGAAGGGATATTTTGAATATTGAAAAAACAAACCGGTAGACCAGTCGATCCCCGTTCACCAGGAAATCCTGGTAAACCACTGGGACCTGGTGGACCTTCTTTTCCTGGTAGACCAGGTGGTCCTGATGGTCCCTCTTTGCCTTGTTCTCCCGAGGGTCCTGGTTCTCCGGGAGTTCCTGGATTCCCTGAAATTCCAGGTTCTCCTGGTTGTCCGGGTTCACCAGCTGGACCTTGCGGCCCAATAACACCAGGCGCTCCTGAAGGACCAGGTGGTCCAGAATCACCCACTGGTCCACGTTCACCAGGGGGACCAGGAATTCCATCTTTCCCATTAAGGCCAGGTTGTCCAGGGGGTCCCACAAATCCACGAGGTCCCTCGATTCCTGGCGGACCGGGTTCTCCTTGTAATCCTGGAGGACCTGGTTGTCCAGTGTCACCTTTTGGCCCTGGTAATCCTTCACCACCTCTTCTTCCACGAGCACCTCTAAATCCCTTTGCAAAAAGTGTTGTAGTAATTTATTTATTTATCCATACAGACTATATTATAGCTGACATCATTCTCTACGTACTCGAGGTCCTGGCTCACCGCGTTCCCCTGGCACGCCATTGTTACCCTGTAAATAACAAAATAATGAGTTTCGTTTTGTGAAATTTTATCTGCTACGTTCTCTTTTTACCCTTTCTCCTTTATCTCCGTTAGGACCTTCTCTGCCCGGTTGGCCTTTATCGCCTTTCTCGCCAATATTTCCCGGATATCCAATAAAGCCAGGGGAACCAGTTTTACCTTTCTCACCAGGCAATCCAACTAATCCAGTTTCACCGCGTGGCCCCTCGAAACCTTTCGGTCCCTCCAAACCTTCCAACCCAGGAATTCCTTGTGGACCTGGTAATCCAGGTTCTCCTTTTGCACCAACGTCGCCTTTCTCTCCTTCCGGACCTTTCTCTCCCTTTTCCCCGCGTTCACCAGGTATTCCACGTTTGCCCTCGTCACCTTTTACGCCGCGAATTCCTGGTAGACCTATCGGTCCTTGCGGTCCCTGAGATCCTTGTTCACCTTTCATTCCAGGAATACCCGGATTGCCTGGATGACCAGGGGATCCATCTGCTCCCGGCAAACCAGGAATTCCAGGTTTCCCTTGTGGCCCCTGTCAAAATTGTTAGAAAGCTTCGTAAAGATTAAAACAGAATCAAAAAGATTGTATCTTGTAAAAATTGTATTTTACAACTAAACCGGTTGGACCCAAAAGACCTTGAGGTCCGGGTGGACCTATAGGCCCAATTGGACCCGGAGAACCAGGTACGCCTGGAGGACCCGGTGGACCAGTATTGCCTTTTGCTCCTGATGGACCCTCGCTTCCGGGAATACCGGGATTCCCTGGCAATCCAGGGAAACCTCGTGGTCCTATGAATCCTCTAGGTCCCTGAAATAATTTCTGTTCTTAATTTTTGTCCCTGTTTTTACGCGAACACCTTATCGTGTCGTAATTTCGTTATTCACCATTTCACCCGGTAAACCTGGTAACCCTGGAGGGCCATCGTCACCCTGCATTCCTTCGTGGCCTGGTAGACCTTGTTCACCAGTCGCACCTACAAATCCTCTTTCGCCCTTATCTCCCGGCAAGCCAGGCAAGCCCGGTACACCCTGTTCTCCTTTCATTCCTGGTGGTCCACTTAAACCTCTTTCTCCGTCTCTTCCAGGTCGGCCTCGTCTGCCCTCTCTGCCAGTGTTTCCAGGAATACCTGTACATTTTATATAATTTTTGTCCTTTTGTAACATTTAAATAATAATTGAAATAGGCTCAAAAAAATTGATAAAACCGACCTCTTTCACCACGAGGTCCAGGCTCGCCAATTTCTCCAGGCTCTCCTTTCTGACCTTGAGATCCAGGTGGCCCTTCGTGTCCAGGAATACCTGTCAGGCCCATTGGACCTTCGGCACCTCTCATGGCCATCATGTGCTGCGAAAGGATTTGCCTGAGAGCTTCCGTCTGACTGTCTGGCCCCTTCTCGTTTCCTTGTTGGTTCAGTGCTGGTATTACAAACACGTTCCCTGATGGACCGGGAGCGCCTTGCAAACCTGCCAAACCATCTCTTCCTGGTTCTCCTTTTTTACCGGGTGGCCCGGGCGCGCCTGGAGGCCCCGGGAATCCCCGTGGCCCAACTGGACCTCTGCTACTATAATAAACTGAATTGTAATACGATCCTTCCGACGATTCCGAGTATTTCAAACCTCCTTGATTTTCTCCAGTCAAACTGTCGGAAGTTTCAGAAATTTCCGGTGTTGTCGTTTGATGGCGATCTACTGTGGCTGAAGCAACGCTGTTGAAAACCTGTTGGAAACGTTTATTCAATAAATACGGACTCGGGCAGTTCTGCGACAGCTGAAGAATGACACTTCATCTGTTACAATAATGATTGACTCACGGCACTTTGATTCTGAAGGAACGTCGCCACGGTTGACCTCGCCGCGTGCGTTACGTTCGCGGGTTTGTAAGCTAAATTATTATACTCGTCCTCGACGTCCTCGACCCTGTCTTCGCTTCCATCCTCATACTCCTCTATCTCTCTTACAGTATTTTCATCTTGCTCGTTGTACGAAGCATTAGGTCTAGACGTTCTGCCATAATTTTCAGACAAGTTCAGATTGTTGTTACTCGCTTGATAATACGATCTACTGGTTGAAAAAGCGTAACTGGATGTTGGAACTGTCTGACTATCGCCGATACTTGTACCTTCGCGGTAAGTAGATACGGTGGTGCGTGAGAGAGAGTCGTAATTCCTCGCGTTTAAGTAATCACCGTGTTTTAATCTGTGCCTCGCGTTCCTGCAATCTGGCGCGAGAACCGTGCAAATTTCGTACGCTGTATCTGGTATCGGAGCGATCTTCAACATCTCCAAACCACCCTGAAAATGATTCGAAGAAAATGTTAAGCTAAGTTGTATATATTTAAATTTTCAAACATAATGAATGTACACGTGATGATTATACGCGATTAAATCTGAATATCGCCGCGCCACTGACCGTGTACATATTGCCATCGACGATCTGTTGGCCGATAATTATGATACCGCTGACGCTAATTGTCTCGTCGAGCCTTCGACGCAACTCTCTGGAAATTTGTCTCTGGGCACAATCGAGGATCAGCGTGACAGTGTCGCCTTTGACGCTGATCCCTAAACGGTGCCACTTCCCATCGGCAATGTCAATCCCGAATGAAATCGGTTTGTCCTCGTCGTCCGGTGTTGTGCTGTAGTAAATAGTGACGTCACTGCCCAACGACAGCACCAACTGTTCCTCACCGCTGTCGCTGTAGATCGCGAACAACGTGGCGACCGGGGATCCTAATTTTTGCGAATCGTCGAGTCATTCGTGAATTATCTTATTCCATGAAATTATAATCTAACGAACGAAAGATAGGTCAATTAATATAAATCGATTGAAGGGAATACTGACCGATTTTTGGCTTGGCGACGACCAATATGGAAAAATCACGGGGTATGCCATTAGGGAACAGAGTGTTCGTATTGATCGTCAGCAGCGCGCTCTCCGCGATGTCGTATGCGATCGTGTCATTTCTGCGGCAACGATTTTCGGTTGCTGTCACGCCAACCGGCTCTTGTTGCATTCCGGTGCCATCCATCAGATCCACGATATTCTCCTCTGAAATTGCGAGTTAAGATGACTACACATTCATCTAGAAATTATTTTCATTAAGGGGAATATACTATCGAACATTTGTGTACACTTTTGCAGAGAAGCAAAATTCTTCTTCTTCCCTTTTTCTCTCTTATGGTCGAAATTTATAATTTTGCAAGTGAAACGAAAAGACGCAATTAAATAAGGATAATCGCACGAATGACGACACAATGGACAACCCAATAACCCCTAGAAACCCAATAACCCTTGATCTCGAAAGACGTAACCAGTTTCATTAAGAAGTCCTCTTTTCCAGAGTGGAACACGCAATTTTGCATGCAACGAGCAATGGCTCAATTAATGCAATAGAGATCACTTAAAAAGACATACGCTAGTAAACGGGCTTGCTATTACACGGTTTGTAGAATGATTATTTCAACTCGTGCATTTATATGTGTATATATATATAAATATACGGTTTAACTGGAATTTCATATCTTAAGAAATTATTTACTTACATTGTCAGATACATATGTCCATTCTGATATAGCCTGACAAATTATAAAACGCAATTTTAATGCAATTATCAAATTTAATTTGAGAAAAAGTATACTTCATTTCATGTACATAAAGCGATTGGTTGTTAAGTTAGAGAAATTGTTACCCTGAACAGAATTGCAGATTTACCTATGTCTTGCAAAATAATGTCGGCTAGCACCGGGTACAGCCCTAATGCCGCGAGAAGACAAAGTGTCCAAGGAACGTAGTGGATGTTGCGAGGCAATCGCAGTGTTTTCCATTGTTGCTTCACGTGGTCCCGCCGCATGCTACCCTTTCTTCGTCAAATCATGATTTTTACAGGGATACTCTCTTCTGATACCGGTCACCGTAAGAAAGAAGAGCGCGCACCACCGGTGAAACAAACGACGAACGTTGATCGTAGGCCGGATGCGAAAAGCCGAGGAATTTATCTGAATGTAATCGTTGTCACAATGCAGTGCACCCTTCCCATGCGTTTCCTCTTCTTCTGCTTCGATCCCTCCTTTCTAATATTCCGTCTCCCCGCCTTTCTTTCTCGTAAACGCCGATGCAACCATACACATGCATTCCACACATGTGCCTTTTAATGACAATCCCGCGTTTCTTCTATTGACACTGATTCAGATGACACGTTGCGCCACGAAAATATGTTACAGAAATCCATTCAATATAAATGAGATTTTATTGTGTAGAGAAGGGGCTGACTGACAATTCCTTGTTCTCTTTTCCTTTGAATCGTTCAGTACGTACGGAATTTAATCTGAAAAAGAGGTATCTCAATAATAAAAGTACGTACAGTATATAAATTTGGGCTTGTTATTATTTTTAATTGTTCCGCCAGCGGTATGTGATCATCGTTTAACTATGAAACTTTCAATTAATTACTTCCTTGATACTTTGATTAATTACTTCCCGACGTAAGTTTCTTTGCAGAGAGGTTTCTCTATTCGCTTCGAATATAAGTCGATATTTATTCGACATCGAAACACATTAATCCGAGTGAATTAGAATGAATAAAAAATAATATTTGTTCTGTGTGACGATGTATTCGTTTAGTCTTCCGAAAATAATCATTTCAGTCGACACAATCGAATTTCGTATGTCAACTAATATCAGCTCCAGGATCACGTGATCTATTAATTATAGGTTATCGTTTTGTGTTGTAATAAAACTGGGGAAACACCATGGAAAGTGATTATTTGAAATTGTATAAAATTCGTCCTAATTTACCACGTTGACAGAAGAATAATTCATCTATAAATAAAGTCGTTGAACTTTGTATAAAGCAATTTACTTATCTAACTACTTCCTAAACATTTAATTAATTCTACTGATAAATTATTGATCACGTATACTATTTATCAAATAGTTTTTACACATTTCACTTACGTAATCATTTTTATTTATTTTATATACTCCATATAGTTTTTTGCTCTTAAGGAAATTTATAAATGCATACAAGATATTTGTTGTACATAGTTTGAACCTTAATTATTAACGTAACTTCATTGTTCCATTTAAATATTCAAATGTGTGTGTGTGTGTGTGTGTGTATATTTATAATATGTACATAAAGTAATGTTGCGCAGCTAGCGCCTCCTATCCAGTGCTCTCACTGTGTGGTGCAACTATATTTGACAATGAGGTATATTGAACTTGTCCATGCTGTGCATTAGTTGTTCACCTAACCTCTTCATCTGTAACACGATTTAGCTGAAACAATGTCAAAGAAAAAGAAAGTAAGACTTTACAATAAAAAGAAAAAACTAAGCGAAACAACAGTAATTGCAAATCTACAATCTAAATATGATACTGTAAGTTTTGATCTTTTTTTCTCATGTTTGTAAAAATACTTGGACATACTACGGTATTCGGGCTCTAAAATTTTTGTCTCAAATTTGTATTTTCGGAAGTATTTTAGGTTACTAAAAATGGAAATGATGGTTATTGCTCATAGAAATTAACGATTTTGAAAATTCAGCCGGATGAATTGCAGTAAAAGAGAAAAATTTCATCAGTATATATTCACGTGGTTACCTTCGGTCGCTAAAGACGGAAATGAAATCCATGTTTAACATAAATAAGTTTTTGAAAATTCTTATTAATTAATTAGTAATTAATTTTCTTAATAAATATGTATAGCAATACGTAACCCCAATTTCATAAGACTGGAGATGTTTAATTCAAACCTGATCCATATTTCTCCTTAAAAGAAACTGGTCATTATTTCAAAGATATTTATTTATGTCACAAATAATCATTTTCGTTTCAAACGACGTAAAATATCCCTGAGAATACAAATTAGAAAGAAAAATTTTGCGGATGTTATACTTCAGTTCTCCAACTTCAATTCAATACTTTTACTCATAAAATTTATATATTTTCAGATCGACGAAACAAAAATAACAAAATTTACAGATCTTCCCCTTTCAACAAAGACTTTAAAAGGTCTCGCAGAAAATGATTATGTTGAAATGACAGATATCCAGAGACAAAGTATCGGATTAGCATTACGTGGTTGTGATATATTAGGGGCAGCAAAAACAGGCAGTGGAAAAACTTTGGCATTTCTTATTCCAGTAATAAATTTAGTCAGGTTTATGTAATATTTTGATAAGCAAATTTATAACAAAGACATTAAATTTGTTTTAGGTTTTAGAGATATTATATTGCAAACAATGGACAAGGTTAGATGGACTTGGTGCACTTGTTATTACACCAACCAGAGAACTTGCTTATCAAATATATGAAATGTTAAGAAAAATTGGTCATTATCATGATATTTCTGCTGGCCTTATTATTGGTGGAAAAGATCTAAAATTTGAAAAAAGACGTATGGATCAATGCAATATTGTTATATGCACTCCTGGTCGTTTGTTACAACATATGGATGAAAATCCATTATTTGATTGTGTAAATATGCAGGTAAATAAATACAAAAATATAAATGAATCATTCGCTATAGAAATGTGATTTAAATTAATTGTCGTAAAATAGGAAAGTAACAACAGATATTTTCATTTGTTTGTTATTCTAGGTATTGGTATTAGATGAAGCTGATAGATGTTTAGATATGGGTTTTGAGCAAACCATGAATTCTATTATTGAAAATTTACCTCCAAAACGGCAAACTCTTTTATTTTCTGCTACACAAACAAAGTATGTATATTTAGAAATAAATAAAATATAATTCTTTTTATCCTAATAAATTGCGTTTGTTAAATTTTTAATAGATCTGTAAGAGACTTGGCCAGATTAAGTTTGAAAGATCCTATGTATGTATCAGTCCATGAACATGCTGCACATACCACACCAGAAGCACTTCAACAAAATTATGTTGTTTGTGCTTTAGAAGATAAAATTTCAATGTTATGGTCATTCATACGAAATCATTTAAAACAAAAAATTATTATATTTTTCTCTAGTTGTAAACAGGTATAACAATATTTATTATTTTAATATTAACAATAATATTATGATAAAAATTGTATTTTAGGTAAAATATATATATGAAGTATTTTGTCGATTAAGGCCTGGTATAAGTTTGCTAGCACTTTATGGTACTTTACATCAACTTAGAAGAATGGAAATTTATAATACTTTCTGTAGAAAACAATTTGCAGTATTGTTTGCAACTGATATTGCTGCTCGTGGATTAGGTAACAAAAAAATGCGATTATTCATATTGAGATTTAAAAACATTATTCACAATTCAAATAAATTTTAGATTTCCCTGCTGTGGATTGGGTTGTACAAATGGATTGCCCTGAGGATGTAAATGCATATATTCATCGTGCTGGGAGAACAGCTAGATTTCAACGAAATGGTGAATGTTTGTTGGTTTTGTTACCTTCTGAAGAAAAAATGGTTGAGAAACTTAAAACGTGCAAAATTCCAATATCCATGATACAGTGAGTTACTTGAACTACGTGAATAATTAGATAAGTTATAATATTTTAAATATGTATTTATAAACTGAAATAATACTTATTTAGAATTAACCCAAACAAATTGCAATCTCCACAACGTAAAATGGAAGCACTATTAGCAAGAGATGTTTCATTGAAAGAAACTGCTCAGAGAGCGTTTGTATCATATATAAAATCAATTTTCTTAATGAAAGATAAAGAGGTCTTTAATGTTCATGTATTAAATACTGATTCATTTGCAAGGTAAAGTAAATATATAATAATTTATATGACATGAGCAGTTTTTGTTTCATTATTTTATAATTGATTCACATTTTTAGATCTTTAGGTTTAGCTCTACCGCCAAGAATTCGATTCCTTCAAAGAATGGAACAAAAACGGCAATTATCGAATAAAAATACTGAAGAGAAAAAACCACTTACTGTTAATAATGAATTAAATGATATAAATGAAGAAATGAATGATTGCAAAGACGATGAACAAGAAATTAAATCTCAGTCGATGAATTCAACTGATTTTACACTTGGTATAAAAATAAAATGTTAAGACTTATCGAATTATCTATTTCTTTTAAATGAATGTATTTCTTTTTTTGTATAGATGATAGTGATGATGATATATTCACCGTGAAACGAAAAAATATTAATCTTGATGATGTACAAATTGGTATCACTGACAAACAAGACGAAGGTTTAAACAAAAAGAAAGCAGTTACTAAAGCTGCAGCAGCTAAAAAAGTTCTTCGAAAAATGATAGTACCAAATAAAAAAATTACTTTCGATGACAAAGGAGAGGTAATTAATTTATTTTTCTGCTTTCTTTCTTTTTTTTCAATAATTATGAATACAATCTGACTCATTTTACAGGAATTGCTAAATCCCTCTAAACATAAAATTTCTGAACTAGCTAGACAATATGAAAATGAAGAAGATTCTGGAATTAACATAGAGATAGCTAAACAGATATTACATGAGGAAGACAAGTTTGATAAACAACGTTTTAGGGAAAAAATAAAAGAGAAACATAAAGAAAAAAAACGAAAATTAAAAGCCAGTAAGAAAATAGATGATAAAAATGATCAAGATGAAACTGAGGATAATATAAGTAATTATACCAGTGACGATGAATACAATGGTCCAGATTTATCTTGGTTACCAGATCCAGATAAAATTTATGGCAAACAAGAGGAAAATTATTCAGAAACGCAGGAAAGTGAAGAGGAAAGCAATATACATAGGTTTGCATTTTTACGAATATTAAATATCATTGTATCTACAAAAATATATTTGTTTTATTTTTAACATCATTTTATCTTTGGTAATCATATTTTTATCATTTACAGGCCATCTAAAAGAAAACTCATAACGCAAGATGAATTCAAAAAGAAAAAGAAACAAAAATCTCTTAATGTGGACAATACAGATTTAAAAGCAGATGAGGAATTAGTGTTACAACTTTTACAAAATTAAATTATGTATATATCAGGATTTTAATGATTTTTATATATTCTATAATACAATATTGTTAATATTAAGTATTTTCCACTATCTAAATATTTTATAAATGAAATAAAATAAATTAAGTTCACTAATATATCGTTCAGTACAAATCATTTTTTCAGCAAATTACCATTAGACTACAATTATTAAAGACATGTAGAAACATAAAATTGCAAGAAAATATATTTCAACGAGATGTAAATGAAAAAAATTTACATCCCAAACATGTCTTGTAAGAATAATTACAATATTTAATCTCTACTAATACTATTTTGCTTATATATATTTTACAAATTTCGAACTTGATGAATAATTCAACGATGTCATTATATTACATAAAATATTATTATAGTACAAGTATCAAATGTGTCATTTTAATTAAAAGTTGTTTTATATAATTTTGTACGAAATACGCATAGAGTCTCTTTTAAGCAAAGAAGTAAGATATAGTTAATGCTATCAATTGCAACAATACTTCAATATTATACCAAACGATGGATATCCTTTCGAAAAAGTAAAATTAAATATATACGTATAGTTCTAGATTATTATATCAGTTTTTAACATGATATATTTATCAGTCTTAATCAGATGCTGTTTTAATGTGTTTCATTATGGTGTCGACAACTTCTCTACTGGTAGCTTGTCCACCAAGATCGCGAGTGTGTATACCTTGGTTTATAGTTTTATTGATGGCATTCTGAATTAAAGAAGCATGATATTTATGTCCAAGATGACGTAACATATCAACAGCAGCATTTAACATTGCAATAGGATTAGCAATATTTTTTCCAGCAATGCCTGTACCAGTGTTACGAGTACCTGGTTCAAAGATTGTATAATGATCGCCAAAATTTTTGCCTGCTAATAATCCAGCACCACCTAATAAACCACATACTACATTTGATACAATTGCTCCATATAAATTGGTTGTTAATATTATATCAAACTGATGTGGATTTGAGACCAATTGCATACACGTATTATCAATAATCATATTATTATGAGTAATATCTGGGTAATCTTTTGCAACTCTTCTTGATATTTCTAAAAATAACCCATCAGAAAGCTTCATTATATTTGCTTTATGAACTGTGGTAACCTTTTTCCTTCCATTTCGTTTAGCATATTCAAACGCGTATCTTGCTACACGTTCAGAATTAACACTTGTAATAACCTTCATGCTTTCAACAACACCTTTGACACTTTCATGCTCTAACATAGCATATTCCCCCTCTGTATTTTGTCTAACAATAACAATATCAATATTTTTATGTCGTGAATTTACCCCAGGATACGATACACAGTGCAAGACATTTACATAAAGATCTAACTCATTGCGGAGAGCAACATTTCGGGAAAGTACACCAGCTTCTGTACTGCGAGTTTCGATGTTCCCTTTCAGTGCTACACCATTCCTACGAATTGATGTAATAGCATAATCTAAATCAACGTTATCGTTTGCATTTGGATCAATTTCTACATCCTCAAAATCTACTGGTACACCTGCATAACTGAAGACCTGTAAGAAATACATAAAAAATATATATAAATAAATATATATAAAAGAAATATATAAAAAAAAAATTATGTAAGAATTTGTCCTTTAACGTAATGTTATTCTTTGCTGAAAGTACATGAAAATATTTTGATACCTCTTTCACGTAGTTCATCAATTCTGGGCCAATTCCAGCACCAGGTAAAAGGGTGACTGTGTGTCGTCCACCATAATGGGCTTTTGGTATGGGCATTACTTTTTTGATAGTTGGGGTTTTATGTTGTATTTCAAATGCAGACAACGCAGATGCGCATCTGTGAATTTGGGGTACAACAGTTTTCGGACGTAAATATTTAATAACGGATCGTGCAGCCATTTTCAGTATTGTTCTGCAAATTAATCATAAAAAACAATTAAAGTTGAATTAACTGAATGACTTTATCGCTCGCTATTACTTTACAAATTCTATTTTAACAATACCTTGAAAGTCCTTGCCAACTCCGAATTTTCAGCGCCGTTTAAACCATCGTATCTCTAGAATGGAAGACCAGTATTAAAATTTCATATTGTAGTGCCATCTGCAAAAGTAATTTTAACAGTAATTTTTAATAATTTCACGTACAATATAAATATCTTCAGAATATCAATAATCAAATACTATTCTTTAGAAAATATTGTACATTATAATTTTAGCTAAATTACCTTTTAGGAAAATAAACTTTTGAAAACAACTAAAAATATCAAGAAACTTAAACTATACTTCCAATATTCGAAATATTTATCGAATTACAAATCAAAGATCATTTCATATTTTAACAACAACGATACGGATTATCAAGCAAACGATACTCATTGTGAAAAGTTTAACGTATGAATACTTTAAATTGATAGGCCCAAAAAAATGGACCCTCCAAAAAATCCCTGCTCGCAGGTAAAAATGTATCGCTCTTTAATGAAGTTTTCTCAGTGATTAAAACGTTCTATAGTTTAAATTAACCGATGTCCACGTGGAAATGTTAACGGCTTCGAATATCCTGCAAGAAATGAATTTCTAATTTTGAAGGACGATAAACTTGTAAAATCATTTTCGAATTGTACGTTGGCCATCCTGTTATTTTTCGCGGCAACGCGGTAATGAGACGCTAAAGCTCTAGAAAGCCCGCCGCATCGCTGTAGTTGAGTCTTTGTACATCTTATAGCCATCTTCTGAGTAAGTATCACAATTAGAGAGTACGATGAAATTAATCGTGCAAAATACGGTGAAATTAGATTAAATTACAATCAGATGATTATTGAATTCTTATGTAAATTCACGCGGAAAAACCTTTGCTATCCGGCTGTCGTACCGCCATTTTGCACCATGTTCGTTTCTCTTAGCATCTTTGAAGTTTTTTCCTTACAAAATTATTGAATCTGTTGTTGTATCTTTCAAAAATTATAGTTCACGTCAATGTGTTATTTATATCTGATGAACTATTTCGATTACAACTATATATATTCGATGCTAGTTCTTTCTTTTTTTTCCAATCATTTGGTTTACAATTGTTGTGTCGTCCTTTGTTACATGTAAAATGTATTTGCAGTATTAAAACAAAATGAGCAAAGGAAAGGATTCATCTCCTGGAGAATCTGCAGGAGGGGAAGAATTTAGCGTTGAGAAAGTTTTAGATAGAAGGGTGGTTAAGGGAAAAGTACGTGATTTAATATATATGTTAGTTCTATGTAATACAATTGTTATTTGCTGATCATTTTGTTGTAATACAGGTTGAATATTTTCTAAAGTGGAAAGGATATTCCAATGAAGAAAATACGTGGGAGCCAGAGGAAAACCTTGATTGTCCTGATCTAATTGCACAATTCGAAGAACAGCGCAAAAAGAAAGAAGCAGCCACTACTGGTAAACGACATGAAGATAAAGAACAGAAGAAACGAAAAAGTTCATCAGGTGGACCTTTAATCTCTCACAAAAAAAAGATGACTGAAGATAAGAAGCCTGAAGGTAAAATATCTGTTTGATGCTTTAAACAATGTATTTAAGTAACAACTATTTGTATAGTTTTTAACTGTTTCATTTTTATTATATGTAGGTTTTGATAGAAATTTGGAACCCGAACGAATAATTGGTGCAACAGATTCGAGCGGGGAATTAATGTTTTTAATGAAGTGGAAAGGAACAGACGATGCAGATTTAGTTCCTGCGCGAATTGCCAATGAAAAATGTCCACAAATTGTGATAAAATTTTATGAAGAACGATTGACATGGCACAGTCCCACTCATGATGAAGAAAGTTCAGTAAAAGCTGATGCAGAGTAGCGTCCAGCCTTCCGTTATACATACACAGCACGCTTTAGAATTTGTCGTATATAAAAAAAAAAAGAAAATAGCGTGTACAAAATGAAAAATGTGAAGATTTATTGATCATTGCACAGTAATGGTATTATACATTTTAATGTTTTTTTTACAATTATTGGTAAATTAAAATTTAAAAAATAGGAAATCCTTATTACATACTTATGTCACTGTTGATGAAAAAAAAAAAGAAAAAAATACTCTTATAATATACTTCCATAAAGTGTATATTCGCAACTTCTTTTGCAACTGTTACCTTATTCTTCATTATTAATTTTAGAACTTAGATAAATAAATACAATAAAATCTTCTTTATTTTAACCTTTATTTTTCAAATATCAAGTATCATATGTATTACTAGAACAGTATAGATAACAGCTAATTTTTCCAATTATTGATAAATATTCTGCTCTGGTAATATAACATTCGGGTATAAAAATATTTAAAAAATAAATAAAAGGTTTAAATAAAGAAGATTTTACTGTATATCATTTTGAATGTGTATCTTCGATGAATTTGGATGCTTTATATTTCGAATGTCAATAGTTTTTAATATAACTTATCATCTGATTGGTTAATTTTACAATCATTACAATTTTCTACAAATTAATAAGTAGGTAAACATGATTATGTGATAATTATTTCTGTTGTTAAAGAAGTTGAAAACTTAATTATTTTTACTTAAATATAACGTGACAATGTACGATACGTACAAAAATGTAAATGGAAATAATCTTTTAAAAACTTTTTAATGTGTAAAAGCCTTTTTGATGATAAAGATACTTTTACATAAGATAATAGTGTTATAGTGGAAGTATCAAACATTTCAAACATTTTTTTCATGAAAAAATAAATCTGTTTTCGTGATTTTAAAATTAATCTTTTACGTGATTTAAATAAAAAAATGTTAATTGTTTAAAAACAAGTTTTTGCAACGTTCAGTATCCGTCATGTAATAATTATATTGTAGATTAATGTTTTGTCGTCTAATAATAATTATTAAAATGAAGTAAAAAATGTTTTAGTATGTAAGTATATATGTAGTTTCTTTATTTGTATAATTAATCATATCAATTAAAATATTCATTTTTTATAATTTATAAATGTCTCAAAATTTTTAATGTGCTACCACCGTTAAAATATTGTTGACATGTAACGTGCACAATTCTGGTGACAACAAACTGGTGAAAGCAAAAACAGTAGATGTAATATAAAAAAATGTTTCTAATTTAATCAGCGTTTACTCTTTTTTACATTTTTTTTATAAATTTTAGAACTTTTTCGTTTACTTTTATTTAAAGAATTTCTAAGATTTTGATGTCGCTTGGTCTCCCATTCTACTTGTTTAGAACTTGCACCATCCACGGTATTAAATGCATTTGTACCACCAGCTTTACTTTTTTGCTTACTATGTTCTTCTAACATTTCTGCAAATTTTTCAGCTGACAGAAATATATTATTATCAATTCCTTTCGATTTTTTATTCCGCGTTTTTATATTTGACTGAATATTGTTATCATCTTCAATATCATCATCATCGATGTCTTCATCAAACTCTAGATCACTTATATCATCATCATCTATGTCAATGTCACTTAAATTTTGTAATGAATCGTCAATATTATCTTCATCTAAACTTTCTCCTGACTCTTCTATATCATCAGAATTACTTTCTTCACTTTTACCATCATCAAAATCTTCATCTTCCTCCTCAGTACCTACCAACATAATAAATATTTAATTCATATAGTATGAAATATTTTCTAGATTAAAAATAAAATGTAGAATTTATATTTATGTACCTTTCTTCTTTTTTACAGTTTGAATGTCAGCTGCAATATCTAAATCTTCAAAATCTTTATTATCTGTTAATCTGTCTAACATATCATTAAATTCTTCGCTATTAACACTTTCTACATCATCATTTTCAACTGTAAATTTATGTTTGAATTCTTTTCTCTTTTTTAAATATCGGTATAAATATAATTCGTCAACTGGAATGCGTCCTTCTGTTTCATTAATATACGACATACTATCAATCGGAACGGATCTAATACCCTTAGGTGTGTATCCTGCACGTTGTGCTAAAGGATCATTCTTTTTGTGCACTCGTTTGTTTTCTAATTTTTTGGGATTTTTGAAAACATAACGATCCAAGAAACGCATTAAAGATAAATCTTCTAATGGATCTCCCGTGTAATCAATTGGTTTCCCTACAATTACCAATAACATATGATATTAAAATAATTATAAATAATTCATAATACATAAATATAATTTCATAGTAATATTATAAAGTACAATACCTTCAAGGGTAGTATTTGCAAATAATGCAACACTTGGATGATAATGCTTAGATAACATTATTAACTCTGTATTTAAATTCTTAGTTATTCCAGCATAAAGGGGATTGCGACAAAAAGGATCATACTCTTTATGTGTATCAAAATCAATTTTTACATTGTTTTCTGTTTCATTTTCACATTGAGTTTGCCCATTTATATTATGTTCGGATATAACATTCGTTAATAAAATAGTGTCTTCTAATTTTTCATCATCATCAGGACAAGAGATATTTTCTGAACTTAATGAACTATCTTTAGATTCAACATTTTTATTTCCAATTTTAATAAAATCTTGAGGTTTTAATAATATAGTTTTCAATCCTTTGTGTGTATGCAAAACTTGGGATATTACATACAAAATAGCACACGTCATATTTGCAGGAAAATATAATGCGATTTGTAAACTTCTTTTGATAAAGGCATATATACGTTGTTTATTACGATCATTTTTGAGAACTCGGAACAATAGATTAAGAAATAGTGCACGTTTGTTTGCTATTCCAATTTGTGGATCTAATAATTTCCGATAGAAAGTTGAATAAAATCTGGTTGATTGGGCTTCATCTTTGCCTGTAATCTATGAGAATAAAGAAAAGATATAAAAATTTGATCCCTTATGGGGAGAAATTTAGTCATAATTTATACATTTACCTGGTATAACAAATTGAGTGCATTTAAAGAAACATTAAAAGATCCAATATGTACAACTTTATACACAGAATCTATGTAACCATCCAATATATTTGAATTCATTTTTGCAAATGGATATGTCCTATTTACACCAGTTAAAATTGCTGCCATCATTCTAGAATCTGGTTCTCCTTTTTTTAAACAAGCTTTAAAGAAAGCAAAGTAAACTTCAATAAGTGTAGAAGCAAGCTTCTCATCCTTTTTGCTTAAAAGAAATTGTGTTAATAAGCAAATTGCATAATACTGGGCACGCTGTGCTACATTTTTTCTAAATAACAATTTTTCAACTTCTCGTAATACAACAAGCTTCATATTAGGATGTTCATGTAATAACTTATTTAAACAAAATATAACTTTAGATCCTATTTTAGTACTTGGATCTCCTATTTTATTAACAATCAATTCCAACAATTTATGTTCTTGTTCAGCATTTCCTATTAATAAATCTGTCATTATTGATATCGCTACCTCGCGATTTGCATCCACTGTATCAGATGCAATAGTAGCTAAAGACATTACAAAGTGTTCATACTGTTCACGTAATTGGTCCTCAAAATACCAATGAGCCATTAGTTTTTTTCTTGATAAATCTGTACTACCAGAACTAAATTTGTCAAGTTCATCCAAATTTTGTTCCTCGAATCTCAATAATTTGAATTTAGGATGAAGCAGATCCAACAAGAACAGATCTCTCAAGGATTTTATTATCATGTTGCACTGATTGTGCTTTGCAACTCGTACTTGGTTTACAAGCTTTGCAAGCCGAGGTAGATTGTATTTTGGATTATCTTGCACTAGTACAATAGCAGCAGCTACTTTATCTGATGTTGTACCCTGTGTTAATGCTGTTCTCAACCATGTTGTTTCTGAATCAGTACGTTTTGATTCTTTCAATTGAAAAACAGAAATTTCCGAATCCAAATATCTCTTTGCCTCATTTCTTAAATGCGATACTTCTACTTCTAGCTTTGAATGTTTATAAGGTCCCTCTCCTTTAGAATATTCTTCATACCACTTTGGGTTCGTTTCTTCGAATTCGTTTTTCATCTTAAATTCCAATATTAATAAATATATTAAATACTATATTCAATATTAAAAATATATTCAGAAATATTATTGTAGATAAAGCATGTGTATTTTGTAGAAACTACCTTAACCTCAATGGTTAACTTCAATAGGTTCAGTTATGTCGTCACTCGACGTCACTCTTTGTTATGTCACTGCGCATCTATCTGTTTAAACTCCAATGTCTCTCTCTTCGGCCGGCAGCCAGAATGAAAATAATTGCTCCATCTGGTGTCGAGTTTCCACAATATTCACAATGTACACAAAGACAAGTTACAAATCTCCGATCTCAAAATCTGTAATGAGTGCAACTGATCGATGGATCAGTAGCGGTCATCATAAAGCTAAGCACGTGGCTTGCGTTCTAGAATGCTTGCCTTTTGAGATATCGGATGGTATTATCATTTCATGAATGATAATTTCTAATAACAAAATGTAAAAAGATTTTTTAAATAAACCATTATACACATGTATATAGTGTTAGATGTATGAAAAATAACTGATGCGTTAAGTACATACTCATAACAAAAACCAAGAATGCGTGAATTTTTTGATGTGAATTGTGAAAGGATAATTTCACACGTCAATCAATATGAAATCAATGGAGAGAATAATCATAAAAATTTATGACTATATTTATATTATGAAAACGATGTATAAGAAATTTATTTATTGATGTAACATTGATAGTTTACACAAGGATTGTCTATTATATATTTTAGAGCTGTACAAAAGATCTCTTTGATACATATTTTCATAAATGCTTATACAAAAATAATAATTTATTTTCCTTTCATGTATCAAGCAGTTTCCATGCTTTTTCTTCTTTTCGCTTTATTGCCGTCTAATATACTTTTGGACGTCCTCTTTTGTGAACAATTAGAACTGGTCTGTTCAATTTGAGAATTTCCATTCTCAAGAGGTGATGAATTCTTATCTGACTGGTCGTGAGAGACAAGAGAACTAAAATTAAAAGGTTCAAGACCTTCGGATATTACTTTTTCACGTAACATCCGAGCTTTCTTTTTTAATAATTGCTTATCTCTCTGTTTACTTTTTTTCTTCTTTTTGGATTTGTTCCTACTAGATGTAACAACACCTGTTTCGTCTTCTGTACTTTCATTTTCTTGTGTATTATTTAATTGTTCTACGTTATTTGTCACATCTTTTATCTCCCCGTTTGTCATAGCACTTTGTTTATTTCTAGCTTCTTTTTGTGATCTGAAACAATGAAACGAATACAAATGATTTTATATAATAACATAATAAAACTTTAACATTATACTTTCCTTAATTAGTACTCACATGTTCAGTGGAATTCCAATTTGTACTGCTAATCTATTATATGCCATTTTTGTATCTTTCGCAAGTGATGCATGAGTTCTGTACGTCGCAAGTACTTTCCCAATATTATTCCAATTCCATGCTTTTTGTAAATGACGAGTATAAATACTTCGTAGCAATATCAATAAAAGGTAAATATACCTCTGTCTGATTTCTTTTCCTATTTCAGTACCATTAGTTGTAACAGCTTGTTTATTTTTGTGCATATTAATTATTTCTTGAAGTGTGCTTATAGTATTTCTACATAACTTTTTCTCTAATTTCATTCTTATACTAGAATCTTTTGTATTTAAATTAATTAATCGACTATTATTATAAAAGATTGTTAAAAATTCAAGTGCATATCCTCGACGAAAAGATCTAACAGTACTGTCAAAAGCAAAGTCTACCTATAAAAACAGATATAAATTATTAAAAATTCAATTAGTCTACTAAAGTATATTAAAGACTGTGAACTTACTAATAAAGAAGCTAGCTGCCAATTACCCTCCCACTGTAATTGTAAAATGCTTTTAAACAACAAAGGAGATAGCACACAATCTCTTCTTTTGAAGAAGGACGTTAAATTTTCTCCATAAATTTCAGTTATTTTATCTGTCGATATATTAGCCTGTTGTGCACATTTCACCAGAAATGTACAGCATTCCGCTGACTTATCACTTATTTCATGATAAACCGAAGTAGTTCTTTCTCCTTTTTCTATTAAAGCCTTAGAAATATAATTTAGTTATATATTATATATTATAAAAAATTATTAATTGTACATTATATATTATATAATTACCTTTAATATTACTATTAATAATTCTTCGTCGATATTTTCTGTATCTTTGAATTTTTTTATTGTTGATAACTTTTTTAAACAGGATCGAACCCGATCTTGTAGAGACTTTTGATACGGATCTTTTATGCAATATTCCAATAATGTGAAAAGGGGAAGTAGCATATCAAGTACAATTACCATTGATGGTGCACAATCTAAATAAATCTCTAGTAAATCTATAACTCGAATTCTAAAATGTGTTAAAGTTTGAGCTGATTTTTCTTGTTTTTTAGATCGCGATTGACGATTTTCTCGAAGAAGTCTAAACGCTGCCGCTAATGATTCATCTAATCGCTTTCCCTCTTCTTCGCCGATGTTATCTACATTTATATCATCGTCGTCCGTTTGGATGGATACATCACCTAATGCTTGACTTACTGCCATTCGTAACCTATCAGTTACTGTCTCATCTTCATTTTCATCTAATAATTCTTCATTCGAATCAGAATCATCAGATTCCGACGAACTCTCCATTTCGCCCTTAGTATTTTCTTCATCACTTTCGTCATCTTCACTAGTATAATTTGACTCTGCATCTGATGAAATTTCTTCACTATCGAGACCATTTCTTGTTACAAGTGGTCCTTTCTCATTTCTTACGTCTAATACCTGGAAATAAAAATTTTGAAATATACAACATGACAGATATTGATTTTTTATTAATTTGTCTTGCTAATTTATAACATCTGCATACCGCTAATATTTGATGTATAGCTGTTGGCGTGATATAGGGACAAATGTGTGGGAAAACGCATCCTACTAATGAACGTAATAAATGACTGTTTTTAGAATAAAAAGATAATAATAAATCAACAACTACTTCTACCCATTCTGGCTCATCATCTAGCTTGTTTTTATTATTAGCAGCTTTATGTTTTTTAGACTGTTTTATTACTCTTTCGTAACAACTTTGTAATTCATCAATAGCCATAATTGCCATTTGTGGGTCTGAAAATAATTGTAAACCCATATGTAAATTCATTGTATGAAATACTGGTACAGCTTCTGTCTTCTTTGAATTATTTTCTAAATTTTTAATCAAACATATCATTTTGTCCCAAGAATCTTTTGCTTCATTTATTAATGGATTTCTTAATTTCAACGTTTGTTTTTTCAAACAGACGTCCACAAAATGAACTAAATCACTTAATATGTTTCGTAGATCATTCAACTTTGGTAATTTATGGTCTAGCGCGTGATAGAATGTTTCCTTAAACTGCGCTATAAACGAAGGAATATATTATAAACTGTTATAAACAATTTGAAGACAAAAAAATATATACACATATATCATATTATTAGATATATAAATAATACTTACAAGCTAAATCTATTCCAACATTTGGCATTTCACACAATCCATAAGCAAATAAGCATTTCAACTGGTCCAACCTCCATTCTCTATCCACAAATGTTTTAGAATGTCCCATTAATCTAGTAAAATATAAACAAATTAGATATATTCATACATATATGTAAGTGATTGCACAAAGATAAAAGACATTACACTGCACTTCTTAAAATATTGAATACCTTGTTAATAAATGAGCAGCATAAATTCTTTCTGCATTTGTCCAAAATGATTTTGCTTTGTCATTTGATTTGTCTCGAGGTATTGTATTTTCCATTATGCCTCTATATATTTTTGATACTTTTTTTGTACCATCTAAGTTCAAGTTTCCAGTAAGCATTTGAATTATTTTTGTACCTGTCTTTTTTTCAATCATTAAATCACCAGGATATAGTATTAATTTCTTTAATACAGCAATTTGTATTTTTAGTTTAGTATCATCACTGCTTGTAGCAGATGTTAATAAATTTAAAACTTCTTTAAATCCAAGAAGTACTTCATTGTTATGATGTTTAGGTCCAGAACATTTTTTCAACATATGCTGCATATAATTGGGCGATAATAACAATGGGAGTATAGATTTATCTACAATATTTGATAATATAAATTTCAGAATTTGTATAGCTACATATTCATCAGTTTTAGATGGTTTTGCAAATTTCTCATCAATATGTGTCCAAAAGATTACAGTAAGTTCAGTTGACATTAAATTCTCACAAAACAATTTAAATATTGGATGGTGACATAATACAATTCTGGGTACATCCTAAATATTAACAATGCATTACTTAGCAATTTTTTTTTTAAATAAATAATTTGCACAAATAAAATTACAATATACACTTACCAGTAACACTTTCACTATGTCATTCATAGATTCCTCAGTGATAATATCATTTGTACCAAAATGTTTTTTTGAAAATTCATTATTTACAAGTAATGGACACTTATCTTTGATTACTAACAAAGCATAAAATGAATCTAATGTTTGTTGTGCCCATGGTTTGCCAAGTTCTTTCTCAACAATTGGCCAAATTAATTTTTTAATACACTCAGTATCAACTTGATTTATATATTCAATAAGAAATGAGATAGAAACAAACGATAAATAACTGCGTTGTTTGCCTGCATTGATAAGATCTTGAATAGTTTGTTGCTGTATTACATCAATGCTCTTTGAAAGTATTTTAGACCTTATTAAAGCCCCATATGCTAATATACGTCCCATATAAATATCACCATTTTCCTGAAATGATACAGTTAAAATTAAATGTAAAACGCTTATTATCATAGTACAAAACAAATTAAATTTCTTACGCTTTTACTGTAGTTGTTTGCTGGCTGTAACTCATTGTCTATCAGAGATAAAAATTTTTCTACAGACATTTCAGAGTTCATAGTTAAATAGACTGTCAAAGTTGTATAAAAACCCATACGTGAGGTCGTTTTCGAAGAGCCTAAGCTTCGAATCAATCTTTTCATGGCATACTTAAATTCTTGGCTCTCATTGTGTTCCTGAACAATTGTAAATTCGTAAATAATTCGTCGACTAAAAACAGTGATTATTTCTCACTGTCTCGTGCAAAAATGATTAACTTTGAGGTTATCTGTAAATAAACACTTACTGAATTTTGTTGACTCAAATACTTTAATAAAGCAATCCCACCCTGTATTCTTTTAGATTCCACTTCGTTTCTGAGTATAGTAAAATAATCAAAGACTGTACACTCCATTTTATTTATATTCTTCATTCTCGAGTCATTTGAACCAACCTCTGCCATGTGCACATTCTCGTCTGCCATCTTGCTTTATTTTAACTAGAAACTACGCTAGTCTAATACGCGTCTAAATGAAAAATATGTAAAAACAATCGAACGAATTTGCCTTTTAATTTTTCAGTAATCGTCGTTTAAATGAAATAAACAGGGAGTGATAAAATTAATCGAACTAAATTCAAAAGTTTCTAAATTACAGAAAGTCAAATCTCGTTAGAAAATTTCGTATATCTCTGCAAAATCGTCAAGTTGCTATAAATAAAAATTTTTAATAAACATTGTGCAATTCGACTACATAAACAAGTTACTTTTTTTTAAAAAGAACCTATTGCAATTTAACTCCCCGTAAGAATATAACGAAGGTATCGTCGAAAATTCGCTAACAGAAGCGCCTAAACTAAAGCAAGTCTCATGGACTCGCGGATTCAAATTCTCTAGTGATTAGAATAGTGCCATCTTGAGCATAGTATTGCACTCGATCCGCGCGGTCCCGGTCAGTTGCATATATCCAATATGGCTGGCCGAGGTGGTTACGAAGATTCAAGGCAAGTATAGGTTACAATTTCATTCATGTACGACGGTTATTAAGAGTTTTCGATATGGTGCGAAGGTGGAATTTGATCGGTGCGTCGTACAGCCCCGTCGAAATGCCCCGCCCCTTCGACAATTCTACGATTTTAAGGTTAAGTGAATTTCGATTGGAGTGTAAGCGCAGCACCTTGCAGATATGGTGCCCCCCGACACGCGGCTTTATTTTGACCGACCAAACAATAGCGTGATTCTAGTCGTACCGTTATTAACGAGGATATTGACTAAATGTTTGTGAAATATACACGCCCCGTTTCATGAAAAACATCGTTTGACGCGATAGACAGAAGTAATTAACTCCATGTTATTCGAGAATACGTGCATTAAGAAAATCAAGAGAGTGTCTAAATAAGTGTCAGAACTGTAAGAGTCTACTCGTTGTTATTGCTCTCTGGTTCATTTTTAACAAACGAACACAAAAGTCTGCGTAGCTTGGAGGGTAATAAATATTTGGAGTGTGTACGAATCCTAAAGTGTTATTTTTTTGTCAAATGAGGTTACAAAAATAATAAAACGTAAAAGTGGTGCTTCGTTCATTCGCAGATTCGCTAACTATACGAAATCCGTACGCAATATGAAATGCTATTTTATAATGCAACAATTTTATTCGATAGAGTTTCCTTGTACGAATGTAAATTATTCTTCTGTGCAGAGATTATGGTGGTGGATTTCGAAGTGGCAGAAAACCGTTGCCAACTGAACCACCTTATACCGCTTTCGTGGGAAATCTGCCAAATGGAATTGTACAAGGAGATGTTGATAAAATCTTTAAGAAACTTAATGTTAAAGGAATCAGATTGGTTAAGGATAAAGAGACGGATAGGTACGAGTTACTTTTTGTATGATCACAAAAGAGCAGTTCTACATTTACATTCATGTTTTTCTAATTTGTATCTTTTTTTCTTTTCGCAGGTTTAAAGGCTTTTGTTATGTTGAATTTGAAGAGTTGGCAGATTTACAGGCTGCATTGGAAATGGATGGCGCAGTAGAAGTAGATAATAGTGTAATAAAAATAGATGTAGCAGAGGGTAAAAGAAATGATCGAGGAGGTGGTTTTGATAGAAGAGGTCGCACTGGTGGTGGCAGTGGAGGAGGCTTTAGAGGGAGAGATGGTGGCCGTAGTGGATATGGTGATGATTTTGGAAGCAAATCTATGTATTCTAGTAAGCGTTATGCTTTGCATAACGTATATCGTGAAATATTTTAAGCCGGGCATTGCAAATTAATTTGAACAATAAGTAATAACGTTTCAATGCAAAATTCTAAATTTTCCTTTGAATAATTGTTTATATACAAAATGAAATCTTATACTGCTTATACTATACATATATATCTTGGTACCAAAAATTAAAATTCAATGTGATGATAATGTGCAGGAGGTTACGTAGGTCAAACTCAAGGCCAAAGCCATGCTGGTAGACAAGGTAGTACATGGGACATGAGGGGTAACCGGGGTAACTATACTCAGTTTAATGATGATACAGGAGGTGGAAGTCGAGAATGGTCGCGTAATGCATCGTCTAGATCATACGGCACTAGACCACCTCCTCCTCGTGGAACTGGATCTGAACGAAAACCATTTCATGATGAACCGTTCCATAAAGATCCACCTCCAGGTTTGTTTATACAGGGTGTTTCGTAACTTGTGGGACCCATTTCGGGAGCTGATTGTACGCCTAAAAATAATGAAAAAAAGTCATATAAATCTATGTCCCATCTGTTTTCGTTTATGAGATATAATGAATTTTCTGTTTTAATTACTTTTACAAAAGATGCTCGAAATGACCACCTTGCATTTGAAGACAAACCTGCACGCGTCTTGTCATTGATCTGGTTACTCTATCATTTCTGGTGTTTCTCGAATTTGTCGGAAGCCTTGCTCTATTCTATTTCGTAGTATTTTCAATCGATGACGACCAATCCATTTATTTGCAAAGTGTTAATTTAAAAATTGCCACTCGGTTAAAATGCGGCGGAGCTCCATCATGCATAAACCGCATACGAAGTCTAAGGAAATTCCAGTCGATATTAGACTAATTGTTCGTGGAGGTTCTATTGCATGGCTTGCTCATTCTCCGGATTTGAATCCATTATTTTTTATTTTTGGGGACATTTAGAATCGATTGTATACGCAACATCGATTGAAACTGCTGAAATACTACGAAATAGAATAGAACAAGGCTTCCGACAAATTCGAGAAACACCAGGAATGATAGAAAGAGTAACCAGATCAATGACAAGACGCGTGCAGGCTTGTCTTCAAATGCAAGGTGGCCATTTTGAGCATCTTTTGTAAAAGTAATTAAATATAAGTAGAAAATTCATTATATCTCATAACGAAGACAGATAGGACATATATTTATATGACTTTTTTTCATTATTTTTAGGCGTACAATCAGCTCCCGAAGTGGGCCCCGCAAGTTACGAAACACCCTGTATACAATATCCTGCTAAGATCTTGTTTTCAAAATGATAAAAATAATTTTAATATTCTCATTGTAGCTGACACAAGTGGAAGAAAGCGTCTGGTATTAGCACCAAGAACAATTCAGGACCCCATAAACGCAATTGCAGAATCAAGTAAATCAAGTTCGATTTATGGTGGCGCAAAACCTCGGGAGGAAAAAATTAATACTGACGACAAGTAAACATATTATCATTTTTAGTTTCTGATTCCCTAACTCTAGGGAAGGAACTTCTCCAACAAAAAAACGTTTGGAAACAAATACAAGATCCCCTAGTTTCCTCGAATGTAGTGGGGAGAATCTCTTCGGAGATGAAATTGTAATAATTTTTATTTACCCCTAAGGGGAGTCTTCCCCCACAATAACGATGAAAAGTGATTTAATGAGATTCTTAAGTTCGACGCATTTGGCATTTTTAATTAAGAATAAAAGTTTTTCATCTAGTGCCCTCTCTATTTAAACTAATGTCTTAGTTTGAAAAAACTGTAACAATAAATTTGGAATTTAAAGTAAAAACAATTGTGTGCACCATGCATGCTTGAGTAATATTGGTTATGTGTAATTATGTATGTATATACATATGACCAATCGCATCTCGTATGTATGTATATATGTGTGTGTGTGTATGTATGTATGTATGTATGTACACACGTGCGTGCACACAGCACTTGAATTTTATGTGTATATATATATATATATATATATATATATATATATATATATATATATATATATATATATATATATGTATACACGTGAATAATGATGTGATACGGAAAGTACATTTTAATATTCACGTCAATTTCATGTTGGGTGTTGTATCAGTTTATAATAATATTGATGGTATGTGTACAAACTATTACAAAATATATACTGTCACCATATATATTTGATTCCATATAAAAACTGATCTTCTAATAATATTGTACTCGAATAATCTTTGTTTTTAGGAGTACAAAAAACATTGTCCTTTTTTTCATTTCCTCCCTTATAATTTTTATGTTTCATTTTAATACCAATCATTGTATGTGCTTATTAAAATGATTTATGAATAATTGTTTAATATAAAAAGTCGTATATGATTAGAAGTATTAAACAATTATTTACGCGCTTGTGAAATAACAACAAAAGATTAGAAAGAATAGAAAGATATTTGAGTGATTGAAGAAATTATACATCACTGAATGGTATGAGGATAACGTGTCGATTATTACTCATTAATACTGTATAATGGATTAATTAATTATGCTAGTAATAAATATTGATCATTTGAAAAGATATCGATGATTACGAGATAATAAATAAAGAAAAAACTTGAATTAATGACAAATATTATATAAAAATTATGCTTGTATATGATACTATTTCCTGAATAAAGTAGTCGTTTGCCTTCTATTTGTGTAATGTATCTTTAAAAAAGTGAAGAAGGGAAAAGAGAATAAAATTCATGTATAATTTCAATTGCGAGAACGGTGTAATATTCGTAGTATTTTGTAAGTTATTCTTAAAAATAAGAGCAACTTAATATTTAATTTTAATATAAGCTTTTAATTATCAAACGAGTATACAAGTAATTAAGACCAATTATTATATCTTGTACTTAAAGTTTAAGTAATTAACATGAATTCATGTCAAAGAAGTTTGTAATTTAAAAGCGAAATTATAGTCATAGTACGTTTTATGGAATACCAAAGTTTATTTCGGTAGCCACGCCTAAACTTCTCCCTTATTAAGGGTACCCCTCCTTCTCCCTAACACAGATATACCGTAACATTTCCTGTACAGTCGGTGCAATATCTTCGTTTCATATTCAATGAATCTACGATAGAACCGTTTCATTTTCTTAAATGTAACGCTAGTTATTTATTCAATGCACGTTGATAATAAGGAGTGATGTCGATTGAAGCAGCAAATATTTTATTCAAATAACCTATTCATTTTACTCGTGTTGTATATTTCAGGTATGATTGTAATAATGCCTTCTGTCACAATACGGCGCCTGTTGGCTTGAAATTTGTATATATACACACACATATACCTTGTTTCTAGTTTTCGATAATATTTAAAAAAAAAAAAAAAAACACCTCTCGTAACTATATTAACTTCTTCCCATCGTTAGGTTGAATCGATGCGAAAAAATGTCTACTGAAAGCGTAAAAACGGTGAGTATAACAATTGAAGCGTAAATGAGATTTTTTGACAAGATATTTTCGCACGTTTCTTTATTACAAAGAGATGTTTACCGAGCGACATATATCGCATGAAGTTACAGATTGTGATACGATTTTAATTTAGTTCAATCTTCATCTTGTTTTCAATAGTTTGCTAGTCTTGAAACACCTGGATATGTGGGTTTTGCAAATTTACCTAATCAAGTTCATAGGAAATCAGTGAAAAAAGGATTTGAATTTACACTGATGGTTGTTGGAGAGTCTGGTCTTGGAAAGTCTACATTAGTAAACAGTTTGTTTCTTACTGATTTATATCCAGAACGTGTGATTCCTGACGCTATAGGTAAGTTAAGTTAAGCTTTGTTTATATATTTTCATTTTTATATTTACATATTATGTGTATCCCAACTGAATATCTCCAACAGAGAAAACTAATCAAACTGTTAAACTCGATGCTTCAACTGTGGAGATTGAAGAAAGAGGTGTCAAGCTTAGATTAACTGTTGTTGACACTCCTGGTTATGGAGATGCAATTGACAATACAGACAGTTTTAGAGCTATCATACAATATATAGATGATCAGTTTGAAAGATTTTTACGTGATGAAAGTGGTTTAAATAGAAGGAATATAGTAGATAATAGAATACATTGTTGTTTTTACTTCATTTCACCATTTGGCCATGGGTAAGATATGTTGATTATAACTTTTATTATGCAGTTATTCAAATGCAGTTTTATGTTAACTACAGTTATTATTTGGTATAAAACCTCTATATTTCTTTTTCATTTTAAAATAGATTAAAACCTTTGGATATAGAATTTATGAAACAACTTCATAATAAAGTTAACATTGTGCCAGTAATTGCAAAAGCTGACGTACTTACAAAAAAAGAAGTCTTGCGTTTAAAAAAACGAGTTATGGAGGAAATTGAAGGCAGTGGTATAAAGATTTATCCTTTACCAGATTGTGATAGTGATGAAGATGAAGACTACAAAGAACAAGTTAGACAATTAAAAGAAGCTGTTCCGTTTGCCGTATGTGGAGCAAATACTTTATTAGAAGTAAAGGGACGTAAAGTACGTGGACGATTGTATCCATGGGGTGTGGTTGAAGTTGAAAATCCAGATCATTGTGATTTTATAAAACTGAGAACAATGTTGATGTATGTAGTAGTCATCTACAAGAATATATCAGTTGAAGTAAATTTTCATTATTCATTATTTTGTGTATATTTGTAGCACACATATGCAAGACTTACAGGAAGTAACTCAGGAGGTACATTATGAAAATTATCGCAGTGAAAGACTAGCAAAAGGAGCTCCTGTACCACCTCGAAGACAAACGTAAGTATGACTTACAATACAAAGAAAACATTTCGAACATATCTGTTATCTATATATTATATATTAGGGGTGTGCAGGTACCCGAAATTTCGGGTTCGGGTCGGGCTCGGGTGGGTAGCCCGATGATTTCAGGTAGCCCGAAGATTTCGGGTAGTCCGATGATTTCGGATCGAGTTGGAAAATGTTCAAGCGGGATAGGATCAGAGGTAGGCATTATTCGAATAAAATTTCGAATAAATTATTCGTTATTTACGAATAAATTTGACAGTATTTTATTCGTTCGAATAAAATATGCCTAACTCTGGATAGGGATTATATTGCATTATCGAAGTCAATTATTCATAATATTAATAAACATATATATATTTTTTTTCTTCAAATGTAATAATATTTATTCTAACTACAAATGAAAGACTATTTTTCTTATCCGGAAATATAATATAATAATAACTCGAGCGAAATTAATATCACAAAATGTTGAGCAATTATCTTTTTACATTATCATTTAGAGTAAATATTATTACATTTGAAGAAAAAAAAAATATGTATATTAAATATTATGAATAATTGATTTGGATAACGCAATATAATCCCTATCATTCCCCATTTGAACTTTTTCCAACTCTATCCGAAATAGACGGACTACCCGAAATAGTCGGGCTACCCGCCTGACTTTGTGTAAGCCCGACCCGAACAATCGGGTACCCGTAATTTCAGGTACCCGCACACCCCTATTATATATGTATATTATATATTTGGAACAATTCTGTTACGAATTTTTTACCAACAGAATTGCTGAATCTGATAGAAGTAATTCTGTATCGGAGAAGGATCGTATATTACAAGAGAAAGAAGCTGAATTACGACGCATGCAAGAATTAGTGGCTGTAATGCAGGCACAAATGCAACAACAGCAACCTTAATTATACATATGCACAAATGTGTGAAGAAAAATCAATTCTTCACCATTGCAGGTGCCAAAAATTGTATTAACCAATTAATATGCTATCCAAAACACAAAATATGATTTTCAAGCATTTACTTTTAACAAACGTAATTAAAAAAAGATACGTTTTTTATTGAATATTTTCAACTCAAAAGACTAGAGTTAATAAAATGAATGTTTTAACAAAACCGAAAGTAAATTCATAGTACAGAAGATTAACTATAAAGCAACTATAATTTAATAATTACAAAACATATGTGTAATAAGTGCCTTGCATATTCCTCTTTAATAGAACGATTTACAATTTCCATTATTAAAATGCTAATATCAAAAATAATATATAATCCTTTTATAAAATAGAACTATTATAAAAAATTTTATACTTTTTAAAATATCAAATAGTACAGATAATGTTCAGTAAAAATAGAATATTGATTTCGGTAAAATAGAATTTCTACAATATTGAAATATAAAAGTAAATAAAATATAGAATAATAAAATATAGAGATTCTCATTTAAAGAAAAGCAAAGATTGATAAGGTACAACGTGGATATAATGATCTAATGAATCTAATGAAAAGTATTTATATAAATTGTGTAGATAAATATATACAATGACATTTTATCAAGATTGATATTTTACACAATTCACAAAAAAATGAGTAAAGATGTACAATTTGCATATCTTCCAACATTCTATGTATATTTTTTTATATAAAACATTTTGAAGACTGCCAATATTAAATTGTCAATAATCATTCAACATATCCAAAAATTAAAGACTATTTTTTTTTTGCTGTGATAAACAGTTTTAAATATAAAATGTAGTTTTCTATGTATTTGCAATATGTTATATTCAAATAGCATTTATTTTTACTTAATATATACTAGTAGTCATTTAATTCATTTGTGTCTCAAAAGAATTCAACTAATATAATGTATTAAAAAGTACAGATCTGTAGGCAAAATGAATATTGATGTATTATGCGAATTTATTTTATTTCTCAACTTTATTATAGTTATACGTATGCATTTTTATATTAAGACAATTCTTGTGCTTTTATATGTATTGTACAGGTATACTCAAAGTGTTTTATACCTTTTTTATACAAATATATACCTATTATAATTTATAACATTGTTTAAGATCGATTCAAATAGTAGTCTATTGCTGTTGAAAATGCTGCAAAACCTGCTGCTCCAATCAAACCTGCTTTTACACCAGCTAAAATATAAGACTACATTTAAGTACAAGTATTTAAATTTATACTATACTATAAATTTAACATAAAATAATACCTCTCAATCCTATTATTCCACCTGTTAAACCACCAGCATATGTTCCATTCTTCCAATCACCTTTTCCTCTATACTAAAATGAAATTATAAAATGAATCTATGATATATAGATAAATATAAGTTAAACTACAATTTTATACGAATTATTACCGATTCTATTGCACATTCAATTGCTGAAAATACACAACCAACTACAGCAAAATTTTTTGCATAACCTAGCGTTGTAGTTTTCATCTCTCTAAAAACTTCACGAACAGTTTGCTGTTTTTCAACAGCTGCCACATTCGGATTTACACTGGATGTAAATAAACCTATGGCAGCTCCTAGACCATAGCCTGAAAATCTAATTTTTTTTTAATTATACTAATATAAATAATGCTTATTTTACAGCACAATATAAATATACCTATGACACAACTCGCAATGCTTTTGAAGATGCAACTTTCCATTGCACTTTCTATTAATTTCTGTTCATTAGTTTTAAGTTGTACAGGACCTACAGTTCTTGGAATTATAATATTTTCTCTAAATCTCTGTTGAGTGCCAATAACATAACGAGCTATGTTATCTAAATCCATGTCACTTATAGCTTTATTTTCACTTGTTTCCAACAATGATTTGGATGAATTAGTATTAGACATAATTGTTTCAATATTTTTTATTTGTTATGATAGACACAGTTAGATTAACACATATCTTAACTGCTTTGAATAACTAAATTTTGCTTCTTTACAATTGTATACTTATGCAATCTGTGAAAAAAAAACTTTATATAAATACAGTAAATAAAAATATATCAACTTAATTCACTTAAGATGCCAATATGTTTCTTAGTCTAACCTGTACTCTAAAGAAATTTAGAGTTTTTTTAAAGCTATAAATTAAAATATATTGTAATTGTATATTAATTATTATTGTTATTCAATTGTGTATAACAATATTATATTTAGAATAATAAACATATATGGAATATCTTTTAATATGACTGTACCAATTTGTTTGCATGCACAAGTACGTATCAGCATATGTATACAATTGTATGTATAAGAATTCCTAAATACATATTACCCAAAATAATATATTCTCTAAAAAATCTTCTACAAGAAGTTTATATATATTATAAATCTGTGTAATATATGGCTAAATTTGAAATGATTATTACATTTTTACATATTAAATACAGAAATTGATTTAAGCGGTAAAATCGTAATTAATATTTGCCGCAATTTGTCATAACGAACGTATAAATTTTTCATCGTGACTTAATAAAATTATGTAGTAATTAGGTCTTAAATCTATACATTTCTTATTAATACGATATGTTTGTTTTATTACGTTATTAATATTTGCATGTTTTAAAGTGCTTAGACTGGCGCCAATATCTAATCTTTAATAGGTTATCGTACACGTGACAATTTATTCTTCAATGTCAAATAATGAAATTAATAATCTATCAAACTAAATAATCTTTAAATGGTTTGATTAAGTGGACCAAATGATACATTAAGATCATGGAAGGAAAAAATCAGATAAAAAAAGATAATGATGGTGAGGAATTTCATTTACAAAGATTCACTGAAATTGTAGCAAAAAAAAATAAACATTAGTAATATGTGATTTCAGAAAATAATGTTACTGTTCAAAATACAGTTCCTCTGATAAAAGATTTATTTCATATATATGAAAAGGTTGGAGAAGGAACTTTCAGTTCTGTGTTTTTAGCCACTTTAAAATTATCTGATGGTTCTAAAAAATTTGCATTGAAGTATTTAGTTCCTACTAGACATCCTGAAAAAATTGAGCGAGAATTACGATGCATGCAACAAATAGGGTAACTGATTTAAACTTGGTTGTAATTTAAACAGTATGTATATAAAAGGATAATCACAGTTCCCTTTTTTAGAGGAAAGGATTATGTAGTTGGATTAGAATTATGTTTACGAAGCTTTGAAACAGTAGTATTTGTAATGCCATATATGAGGCATGACAAATTTGCAGTAAGATACTTTTTGTCTTATCTAATTTTTGTTTCATATCAGAAAGGTTTGTCAATATTAAAATTTAATAACATTAAATAGGAATATGTGCAAGATATGACTGTACAAGAAACAAAAGATTATATGATTGCATTATTAAGTGCATTGCGAAGGGTCCACAGATTTAATATTATACATAGAGATGTCAAACCTAGTAATTTTTTATATGATAGACACAACAAAAGGTAAAGTAGCATCAATTCTTTTTGATATGAATATATCATTGTAATTTTTTTTTTTGCAGATATTTATTGGTTGATTTTGGATTAGCTCAAGAATATGTAGTAGAAAAGAAATCTAACAATCTTAAATTACTTAATTCTGAAGCACAAGTTACTAAACGGAAAAGATCAGATGAAGTAATATATCAATTATTTGTGAAAAATTATGTACAGAAAGTTTCTGTATACACATATATAACATATATATTATTTTTTGTATTGCTTTTGCAGAATAGTTTAAATGTTTCTTTTAATACAACAAAAAAAGGTACAGAAGAGAAATGTTACTGCTTTGGTAAAGCAAAAGTTTGTTCATTATGTATATCAAGATCAGAACAGATAGCTCCAAGAGCTGGAACACCAGGTTTCCGTGCTCCTGAAGTTTTATTGAAACATCCGTCTCAAACGCCAGCAGTTGATATTTGGGCGAGCGGAGTAATGATGTTATGTATTCTTAGTGGTACTCAACCATTCTTTCATTCTCCAGATGACTGTACTGCTTTAGCAGAAATAACAACTATATTTGGATCAAATAAAATGCAACAGTGTGCGCGCAAATTAGGTATAAAAAGAATTATTTTTTAATTTATTTTTGTATTAGTGAGGTTTTTTTGTTCCTTATTTTGTTGAAATTTATCATTTTGTTATTTACTTTATGTACTATTTTTTTTTTTTTTTTTTTTTTTTTTTTTTTTTTTTTTTTTTTTTTTTTTTTTTGACAATTTAGGAAAAAAAATTATCTTTAGTGAAGATATACCAGGCGTTGATATTGTGTCTTTATGTCAGAAATTACAAAAACGAAATAAGGGTTTGTTAGATAGTAATGATCGTAACACTTGCGAGAAGGTATTTTTTTAATTTAACATTTACTCATAAATATAATTAAAGAATCCAATATAATATTTATTTTTAAATAATATGTAATGTAATGTACTAAGGATTTTATATTAAGAAATATCTATTCAATATTTTAAGGTATCATTGGATGCTCAGTTTCCAAAAGAAGCTTACCATTTTGTATTAGGATTATTGGATTTGGACTATAAAACACGTCTTACTGCAGATCAAGCTTTAAATCATCCATTTTTGAAATTATAACGTAATTTTTACATTTAAAATTTTTTTATTTTATATTTTGATGCAACATATAATTAAATAGTACTAAATTTAATATTGCACACTATGAAACTTGTATATATACATAAGTGTATACACATATTATATACAGTACATTATTATTTATATTAAATTAAATAAATAATTTGTTAATTTTTTATATAATTGTATTACTTAATATCAGATTATTAGTAAATGCAATACTCTTGGAATTTAACAATATTTTTGAAATATTTATGTACTAAATTGTTTTATTATATTGTTTGCTATAAACAAAAGATTAAATTGATTATCTTTTCTTAGGCACTTTATGGTATGACAAATATTCATTGTTAGTTATTCTTTACACACCGTAGGAAACATTGAAGTAAGTAGTATACACGTTTATTCAAGATTTTCTAAATTGTTTGTATTTTGTGATTCTCCTTGTGATTCTCCTTCGTTTTCACTTTTTCTAATAAGTTCCCATTTTGCTGCAGCTTCTAATGCTTCAGCTGCTAGTTGTTTAATTTTTTTATTTTGTACTGTATCACTTTTTGTCAAAGCCATTAAAATTTCCATTATATCGGTTTCGATCACTCTAGTTGCTACTTCTTTTGTACTTTTCATCATATTTAAAACAATTACAATTCCTCTGTGTTGTAACTCAGAATTTGGATTAGCAAGTAAATAACGTAATGACTCTAACCAATCTTTTGTATCAAATATTTTAATGCAAGATTTTATGCTAACTGACGTTAACATAGCTAAGGCTCCTGATGCTGCCATGCTTGTGTCTAAATCCTCATTCTCGCAAAGAATGACTAGATATTTAACTCTATCATTTTCTTGTTCATAATATTTAACAGTATCTTCGCACATCATTAAATTATTTATAACCTGCGTAGATGCACGTTGCAACATTTCGTGATCTTCATACATGTATGCTTCAATTTTCTGGAAACCTCCTTCTTTCAAAATTCGTTTTCTCACACTGTCGTTAACATTTGCCAAGTTGCATAAGGCCATTAAAGATTCAAAGTTTTCAAGTGCAGAGCATTCTGGATTTAAGAGATTTATAAATGGTCGAACTACTTCCATTATTCTTTGTCCAGGAAATGCAACTTCTGGATTTATCGTAATCCCTAATCGCGCAAGTGCTTGCGATGCTTGTTTTTTTCCTTTATCCGTGCCATCTAAAGCCAATGGTAAAAGTGCTTTTGCTCCACCTTGTTGAACTACAATTCCTCGTACATCTTGCTGACTACAAATTGCATTGAACACACGTGCTATTAGTTCTTTGCTATTTTGACTTTCTGTTTTAGAAAGTGCGACTAATGCACATGTTACGCCAGCTTTAGCTAATGCAATTATTCTTTTATTCACAAAATCTATGTCATCTAGCTCGTGTTCTTCTGGTATATGATGTTTCGCAAATTTTGCCAATTCAATCATTTCTGGTATAAGTTCTTGTTTGTCGTAAGCATTACATAAATTAACTAACGTAGTAACGACACCATAAACTACAGACTGGTCTCCAGTTTTGGCCAGTTCTATCATTGCTTGAACTGCTTGAACATCTTCAATTAGTTTCTCTTTGACTTCAGCATCAAAAGTGAGATAAGATAGTCCTTCTACTGCCCATTTTCTCATGTCTTTTTGCTTTTTAGGATTAATTAAAAATCTTCTACAAGCTTCAGCCAATTTTTTCGTTGCTCCCTCAGCAAATGGTCTTATTGTAGCATCTGTACCGCCTGAACTACCTAATTTGCACAATCCTACTAAAGCACGCACTCTGATTGAATCATCTTTAGATTGGTACAGCTTCTTCAATATATTCACGCCTTGATTGATAATTGTAGTAGCTTTGTCTTTTTTGGATGCAGCAGCAACGATACATTCACAAGCAACTTTTTGTTGTAATACATCGTTTGTGCCTGCCATAACGAGTATCATTTCTAAAATACCTTCCTTAGCAATTATTGTGTTCCCAACATCTAACGGACCAAGCAATAAAGTTGTTATTGCAACTACAACACGAACCTGTTTAAAAGAAAAATATGAATTAAAGAAATATGTTATGTATCTACATTTTATTATCGATTAAAAAGATACCTTGGATTCTATATCTGGTGTAAGTAGTTTATCTTTTATGTATTCGTCAATAGCACTCCTAAACTTTTCCTTTGCTGCATCATAATACATATTCTCGTAAATTCTTGCCAAACAAACGCTTGTTACAGTTCTAGTAGATGATGTAATTTCCATTGACGATTCATATTTATATTCTTCAAGTTCACTAGCTACTTCCATCAAACGTTGTAAACCATGAAGTTCAATTAAACGTTCTGCCCAATTTAATGCAGTATAATGAATGTTGCGCATAATGAGTTCTATAATTGCATCTCTAGCTAATCCAGAAATTGTTCTGTTTGTTACACTGTACAATAAACAAGATAGAATAGTATCTATTTCTTTGTTGTATTTATCACACAATTCTTTGTTCGGTTTTGAATCTGGTTTGTTAGTCATTCCACTATATGTGTTTAGTATTGTCTGTAAACACAGTATTAGAAAGTAGATATGTATTTGAACATTGAATATAGTAGGTTTTTATATTTATTAAATTTACCAACCTGTATGCAATATTGAGCAGCATTTACTCTTTCTACAATTTTACTGTTAAAGAGTTCTAAACACCATGGTATACCAATTTGCCTTATAATATTTTCAGTTCTATCAATATTATTTTGACATAATTCCGCAATAATTCTGACACCAGTTGTTATTATTTCCTCATTTTTCTCAAGTTTAAGTATCTTTGTTATTTTAGAGACTATTCCGTCATTAAACATTATTTCCGCTCCCGCTCTCTCTCGTGCAAGAACAAGCAAATTGTTCATCGCCGTCTCTCGTTTTTCATTCTCTCCTTTTATCTCAAAAGCTATGTCCATCATTTGTGCCACCTTTGCAAAAAACATGTTGAATTACATCAGAGAAAGAAATAATTTTATGATTTTGATTATGAGCAAATTTTTTTAAAGTATGTTTTATAATTGCATCCTATAATATACAAACCTTGGCATTGACACGAGAGTTTTGTCTATATCTTTCCTGCACAATTTCGTGTAATCTCGCGGCAATAGGTTGAATCGCCTTATTGCCAGGATCTGCAGAGATGATGTATCTCGCATCGCGATATGCCTCTTCGTATCTTTCTAATGCCTCTAATGCTTGACATCTGCGAAATAACGCTTTTGGATCGTTTGGACATATTTTGAGAGCTTTATCGCAATCTTCAATTGCTTTGTTATATTCTTCCTGTTTTAAATATGTAGCAGCGCGATTCTTATAATATATAGCTTTATTCGAATTATCTTCATTTGCAAGCTTTAATGCACTTGTGTAACAACTTAAAGCTTCCGACCAATTCCCTTTGTTGAATTCTACGTTGCCTTTCTCTTTCCATTCCTGTGCAGTCAGATTTGTCGTTTTTGTCATGTTTCTTGGCTAAAAAATGATTAATTACAAATTGCTTTAGATTAGAAATGTCATTGTCCATGCAGATAAGTTTTAATGAGTAATTGCAATATGAAGAGAAAATTATGAATAATACCAGTAATAATACATACATGTGTAAAATAATATAACACGTGTATATGATTCTGTTCGAGATATCAAAGAATTTGCGTGTCGAAAGTTTGACTGTTTGTCTTTTGAAAGTTTCCAATGCAATACTGAGGCTGGCACTGCATCCGCATTATATTAAAAAAGACGCAGAGACATCCAGATGTTACTAGAAGACTCGCACGTTTATTTTAAACTGTGTTCGTTCCGCGGTCGAATAAAAATAACACCGCCGGATGAAAATAGGTTCCGAACTTGTTACTAACATTAATCCTATAATTTTACCGTATCGGTTGACCGACTTTACTTTTCATCTTCCTCTTACAAGATATTGGAAATTAAAACTAAAAAATCATCGATGCTTATTCGCATTATTCTCTATTTTTTATTTGGAATTTATTCTATTCGTGTAGAGAAGTTCCTTGGAAGGAATGCCGGTTAGTTATTTCCAGTAGATTCGATACATTTTTAAAAATGTAAAAGTATCTATTGGCTGAAAGTATCATACACAAATATATGTATACACCAAGTGTATTGACGGGTGCAGAGGGACTTTCCTCTTCCGTCGTCCCGTGGGATTTCTCATCATTACATTAGTACTAGTATATCAAATACTCGTGGATACCCATGAGATTCCCAGATAAAGAGAAATTTATCTCATGATATTCAAATATCTGATGAGTACTCAGATACCCGAGTATCTTACGAGATAATTGAGGCTCGAGTTATTGTTACTCGATTTATCGGATACTCGGATACTCGATATAATTTTATCCGATGTTTTTGTTACAAATAATAAATTACAATTTATGTCCATTAGAATGGCGAAGAATAGAAGAAGAAAAAAATCTAAGATTGACAAAACCTGTTAAAAGATATTTATATTTACTAGCTCTAAAAGAGTATCTTCCACAACTGGAAATATAAATATATGGTTAATTTAAAGCGGTCGAATTTTACTACTGGAAAATTTAGATTTTCAGTATTTTTATACGAACATCTAATTTAAAATAATTGCTTCCTTGTTTTATTATTTATCGCTAAAATAAAAATTGCATTGTAGACATCCGAGTAGAAATAATAGATATGTAGTCTCAACTATCTCATGCACCCAGGTGATATTCGGGTACTCGGATACATATATGTAATATTTCAATGCGTAAGTACATAAGAATGTTGGCGCGAATTTTTAAACGTAACTTAGTAACACGATGAAACTATCGATACATTAACGATATTTATATAAATTAAAATATTGATATAAAATTTAAAATAATTCTTTAAATTTTTCTATGTCAATTGGAATGTCATTATATATAAACAAAAGGAATTACATGTTTATTGAAAAAAGTATTTTATTTATTTTACGTTTCTTATTACATTACATTCTCCACATCGCAGTTGTATTGCAGCGACATATACGATTTCAAACTTTTGTTTCTAATTTCTTCGTTATGATGTATGGGTTTATAATTTTCCATTAGATACTTTTTTTTCATGAATTAAGATTACTATTAATTTGGAAGTTATGAGCGAAATTTGAAATTTAATTTCATATTATATCGCTAATGATAACATTATTTGTAATAGAAGTGCACATGCAGGAAAAACATACACATACACATAATTAAGCAACTTTAATGTAATAATTGAACTAATTTATAATATTATCGCAGTAATTATCTATGTTATTATTACCCAAATTTTTCTATTAAATAAAATTCGAAATCGCGATGTATCTCTCTTAATAGATAAAAGTCAGCAATTGAATGAACTAAAATATAATATAAATTATTTGAGTAATCACCACACATTTAATCCGTGTAAATCGTCGCAAAAATTATTATGACCTAAAGCATATGTTAAAAAAATTTACCGAATCTGTTCAAACCCGTATTTAAAAATCTACACCACATTTCTGCGTTTAATAAAAAAATAATATTGTATTATTTTACTCAATATTTCGAAATACATTTAATTGCAATATCTCATAAATATTATATTGTTTTAATTAAAAAAAAAAAAAAGGAACCGACTCTCTAATGTACATCAATATTTATGGCGTGTACAAGAATTATTTTATGTTGGTTAAGTAATATGTACCAATGTGTTCCATTGTATTTTGGATATTAAACATTGTATTAGTACTTACATTCTATGCATGTTACTTTATTTATGAATCTATTTGAATGAATAATATTTGTGATTATTAAATATTTTGCAGTAATAGTTATATAAGTATCTAAATTTCGTAAACACTTTTATATGAAATATACTTAAATAGTGTAGAAAGAATTTTGACTATGCATATGTTTATAAATAACTTCACATGTAATTTCATGTTTGATTTATAATAAATTAAAACACAAATTTCGTTATATTTATTAATATTTAAGATATAAATCTATTACATTTCTATTATTTTATGAAAATAATATGAGATGCCGAACTGCAATAGAAAAATTGATATTTTTTTTTTATAGAAAACTTTATTATGGTCTTCTACTTTTTAAATTGAAATTAAATTTTATAAATTGCACAAATAAATCTTGTATCAAAATAAATTTATTTTTAATCACAAGAAATTTTGCGACGAAACTTGGATCAGCAATGAATGGTGATAAGTAATTGAGAACAATTTAGAAAATTTCTAATCAAGATTCATTTATAACACGTAACAGTGTAAAATCATATTAAGATGCTACTTACATTATCATTGATTAATAAAAAATATAGCAAGATTGATGATAACTGAAATGTTGCGAGGTTATGATAAAAACAGAAATTTCGTTATTAACAAAATATCGTGAGAGAAGAGATGATTTCTTTTTATTTTAGTAGACTATTATTATTGAGTGTTTCAGCTGCCTCTAGCTTCCGTTAATGGTGTTTCGTCACCTCGCTGTATTTTTAGCCATTCAACGAATTCATCAAGCATTACTGGCCCTGTAAAAAATGCATGCATTAAATGTATATAATTTAAAACATACTTAATCAGTAACATTATACAATTACACACATGCTCCATCTAAATCATAATTGGATAAATCGTGAGTGATTGTTCGAGAAAATTCTAAGATGTTGCACCATTGATCTTTATTAATCACTTTGTACTTTGATTGATCTAGGAACTGAGCAAATTGTGTAAACAATGGCCAATGTTTTCCCAAAAGTAATTGTAACATAACTCTTGCAGTTTCCATATCCATACTTCTTTGATCTTTGTCCTAAAATATAATACATATATAGGTTCCAGAAAAAATTTTAAAATAGGCAAAACATAATGCTTACTCTAGCAAAATCATAAGCATATCTGTATATTCCCTTAAATGTATGTGGATCATTTAATTGATTCCTTAGGTACTCAAGTTTTTGTTGTATTTTACTAATAGAATCACACTGTAAGTCCGAAAGACCTTTTAACCATTCGCTTAGCGTGAAGAAACCCATTTGTCGGGCATTCATTTTGTATGCAAGAACGAGCATTACTACATTTTCGGGTTCTACACCAATATCCTCACAAAATTTTTCCATTCCTTCAGGCCCTAAAGTATCTGAATCATCAGGTGTTGTGTATTCTCTAAACCATGTGATACAACGTTTCTGAGAGAAAGATGAAGCACTTGAAACATCTTCTGTTTTTGTATAACGTCTTGCACTGGAAAGACGAAATATAATACTATTTGCTATATTTAATATAAAAACATCCGGTTATAAAGTTTAAATATGCACCATTATTGGCATATACGCATAATGTAAATTTAAACTGTTGCAATACAATTTACCTAGATGTATGTCTAAGTCTTTTTGACGGATGCCTTGATATACCTTCTTCGTGGGCACTAGGTGACATTTCAATAGATGTATGATGATTTGTGCTAGAGGGCGCTCTACGCTTGCTGCGTGGCATCCCTCTTTTAACTAAAAAAATAATTTGATATTTACAATGAACATAAAATAGGTACTAATTATAAACATAAATATAAACAAATAAAACACAAACACAATTTTCAAAAAATAAATATATTTTTAATAAAACTTATAATAATACATATTTGTTGCTATTTTCAACTAATACAATATTACATCTAATTTAAACTAATCTTTGAGTTTAATAATTACATACACATACTTTCATAATGTATATTTTTATTAGTCAATTTTGTTTTAAGAGAATCAAAACAGGAGGATTAGGGCTGGGAGAAACAAAAATAAAAATTGACAAAACAAGACAAAATAAAAATAGTTGTAACAATAGGTGAAATAGTTGTTCATATATTAAACTAGTATAAAAAAGATACGAATAGATTACTCACCACGCAGCAACAACGTAAGTAACGTAAAAGATTAGAAAGATTTGAGGGATCCGTAATCTAGTTGATTTATACTGGCTAAACTGGCATTTCCTTTGAGTTGTAAGATTCGAGTTTGAGGTTAGGTTCGGCAATTAATCGAAGTATATCGTAATCTTCAATGTTTTTCACTTTAGCTTTAAGCACTTCGTACATGTGATGATGCAAATGACCTAAGAGTTATTAACATGTATTTTCAACAGTTTCAATTCCGAATTACGCTCTTAATATGAAAAATTGAAGTATCAAGTTAAATAGTTGCAGAGCTTATATATGTAAATTATTTTTTACTGCAACACGAGCCGCATTAATATTAAATGCTTATAACGTGACTCAATGACTATCACGTTGTAATGAAACATAAAAATGTATAATAAATTGAAAAGACCCTCCCTACCTTGTTGAACGAACCACTAGAATAAATGTACCAGAAATGTATTTCTCGGAGTCAAAAGTCAACATCGATATAAAACTTGCTTCGTAGTCTAATCTATAAAAATAATACTAGACATAGCGCCAGCGTCATTAAATATTTGACTAATATATTAATTTGGATATTTTATATCACCTAAACGCTGCACGGTTAAATAAAATTTTTTTGCAGCTCAACTTTATTTCATTTTATTGCCGTTTCGAGACGGCATGCCTTTTTCGCAGGGATACCAAATCTAGAATTTATTCCTCACTAGCACGGACAATTATGGAATAAAAATAGATATCGACGTCTCGTTATTAATTTGCATTAATCTAATAGTAGCAACAGCTTGTAATATTGAAAAACTTGTAAGAATTTAAACAATATTATGAATTAACAAATACAAAAAAAGAACAATTTATAAAATATTAATATATAATTTATCTATATTTATAATTTTTATGCTATGGTTAATCTTTTGTTTATAACATAAAAATAAAAGTAAAAATAATGTATATGTGATTGTAAGGAATATGCAACAAGAATAAGTCATCTGCTTCCATTTACTAAAGGCTAACTTAAAATGAAAGAATCTAGCAGGAATATACTATGTGCTGCCACCTACCATAGCCGGTTTTGCAAATTATTTGCAAAAAAAAAATTAATTAAGCGAATTAATTTATAAACTTTTACAATTACGTCTTCTTATTACATACATCCTAAGTTTTGTCCCTTTTTCGATTTGATACAGATTTTGTTGGTAACAAACAATTTTTAAAAAATATTTGCTGCCAATTGAAATCACAAAATCATTACTCAATTTGATGGAAAGTTGAAATTTAATTATGATGACCTGATCAAAGAAAGTCACAGATTCTGTAAATATATATATATATTTTTTGCCTTTTGAAAATTTAGTCAATTGATGAGTACACAATGCTCTCATTCACATTATATATTTATTCTGACATCAAGACACGTTTCCAATTATTCTAATATCTGAAGTCTAAAGTGCATGTTTACAATCACAGAACGAGCAAAAATAAGCAAAATTCAGATTTCTTCGAAACATCGTTCATTGAACGTAAAAAATTAGCAACATCATTGTCATCAGTTTGGAATTTTACGTTATTAATTTCTGATGCTTTATTTTTTTCACGTTATCAGTGAATGTCAATGTATGTTGCAATTGCCTAATTGAAATTAGGTATTTCTTCATATAGTTGTCGTAACTCTTCTTTCGATAAAAGATCCCATTTGTGATAAACTTCTTCTTCTGATGGAAGCAAGTCTTTTACAATGTCTAAATATTTTTCAATTGGACAAATTTCGTCACAACCATGAATTTTATAAGCTTTCAATTCTTCTGTGATTCCATTCCAAAATAGCATCTGAGAAACAAACAATGATAAATAATATCTTTCGATGTTTCTAATAGGAGTTATTAATGAATTAGATACATTTATTCAATTATTATACATCAAAAGTAATTACCCTGATGAACGTCCTGCCATTCGGATCTTTCAATTTTTCAAAAATAATCGCACATCCATAAGGCGGTAGCTCAGGTTCAGTTAAATTGAGCGCTTTGACAACAGCAGCGATATTTACTTCGTGTCCACTATATAAATAAATCTTTCGTGGCCTATCACGCTTCTCATTTATTTTTATATTGTCAAGGAATCTTTTGATAATCGTACCGCCGTTCAATCGTTTCAAAAATGGCGTATAAGAACGGACTTCGTATTCTATATTCACGATCTCTTGAAGCTGTTTGTAAATTTCATCGGTGCACCATTTTGGCAATGAATGATTCATGGCTTTCTACAATACAATGTATTAAACATTTTTCTTTAATTTAATTTCTTAAGAAAGAGAAAAGAATTGAAAATTTTAAATGTACCACGCACAAATTTTATAAATTTAGATTAAAATAAACAATTTTATTATACCTTTGCTGCAAGTTGATTGTATATCTCATATGCTAAATTTGATGTCGTTATGTTCAAACCAGTTTCTTTGCTTAGCAATTTCAACAGATCCCTGTAGGGTATTATCTTTTGAAGTATATCCTCCGTATTCCTTACTTCATTCACAGCGTTTATATATCTGTAAAGAAAGCATTTTTATTTTTAAATTTTCAAGTTGTCGGACGTCTTCTATTTTTCTTTTTTTAACTGAAATTTGTATTTTATTTTCTTTTATTTTTCCTTCTAAGAGTTTGCGTTTCTTTCATTGTTTATAACAACAAGGAAATGTCCTTGTCCAATAAAACACTCACAATGGAGAAAGGTCAGGTTTTAATAGATCATCAACTTTCTCTGGCATGTAATAAGTCGGTATAGGCATCCACGATAAATTTTTATTCCACGTTTGTGTTGGTGCCGGATGATAGAGTCCAGCTAACACCAACTGAAGGGACATTTTTGTTCGATCGTGATCTGAACTATAAGCATACACGTCCGTAGGATGATAAATACTTCCCAAGAATTCGTCGTAGCGTTCCCTTAACATCGTTCCGATCCGATACTCTCTCATCTTTCCTTCCTGAAAATAAAAATTACGTTGAATTATTTACGTTTTCATAATATTTATAATTAATGCTTACATTTGTTAATTGAGCAAGACCCCATGGTTCATAAACTGTTATGTCATGTTGACCCATTGATAATACTTCCCTTTTACGTGGTGTTCTGTCTCCATGTCTAAATAACTGAGAAAATTGAAAAAATTATGACTATGAATATGAAGGAATTTCAGAATCTGTAAATTCTAAAATATAATCTAGAGAAATCTGATCTTAATTAGTAATCGTAACTAAGTACTGATTGTGACACTTGAAATGAAATGGAAAGAAAAGAAAAACACTTACTACTTGCACCAACTCCAAGTTAAGTTCCGTGTTTGCTAGTTGAAAGGATAAACCTAACATAAGAATAATTATTGTTAGGATTAATTTCATACGAGACATGGAAAGAAAGTGGGATAACTAAAAGGTGGAAACTTTAAAATAACTCTGTTGAGTTTGAAGCTTTTGCACGCGTAACTGTATACGCTATTTTGAACTGAAGCAACACTGGATATATTGGTATATATACGTGCGTATATTCATGGCCTTTATCATTCCAGTTTTACCATATGCGTACTAGTGTTACAACTTTTATCGTGAGTCAAACTTGTTGAATCGCAATTAAAGTATATCAAAAGTGATATCAAAAGTAGATATATCACGTTTGATTACTGTTTTTTTAAACAACATTTAAATTCATAAGATATTAGATTTATAAAGCGGCAGAAAAGTTTGTTTATTATATATATATCGAAATATAGTTAATTGGGAAATTTCGGAATTTGGACAGAGATATCTTGTTAATATTATAAGATATCAGTTCTTAACTAAACTGATAAAAACTTCTTAACTAAACTGATAAAAACTTTTTTTCAAATTTTATCAATTTAGAATACACATACACACACACATATATATATATATATATATATATATATATATATATATATATATATATATATTGGCTATGACAAAAGATAATACAAGAGGAAATAAGGAAAAAGTACAAAATCGATTAAGAAACGGAACTGTTAGTTACATAACTCAGTCACACTGCGAACATTGCCATGATTGCGGTAACACTTGATTATATTCAAAAGGGAAAAACCTTGATTAATGATCTGTGGATTAATGATCTGATTATCCGCGTGATTTCTCAATCGATCATTATAGGAATTATCTATGCCTACGTACGTTTACTTAATCGTCAAATGCATAATGAAATTTTACAGATTTATGATAACTTGAATTACTCGATTACGCGGAATAATTGGCTGCTATTAGTTACAGCATCGTTAATGGAAGCGCGAACCTGTTAAGAGCGATCCGGACATTAGCGATGCCTCACCAACGAGACCCGTGTTTAACGATAAAGGATCTTTCTTTTTGTTTCTTAGCCATCACTCGTAGCTCGATCAGAAGAAAAGAACAGAAAAGAAAAGAAAAAAAAAAAAAACGTGAGATCGCACGAGTTATCGTCCATCGTGATCGTGTTTCACCTTTATTTCGTGCTCTTGCGCACGTTTAACCAAAACAAATTGCTAATAAACTGAAATTATTCTCACACCTGTGTTTCACCGAGAGATTGAACGTGTTGCGTAACGATAGTTACGCGACATTATGCAATTATGTAGCGTTTGCTGTTTCAGAGAATAATGTATGCGCGGATTTTAGAGTAACGCGGGGACGAAACGTGATATTCAGCGGCGATATATTTTAACAAGCGTCGCAACAGCGTTCCCAAAGTATGTTTCTGCACGGGGAAAGGAAAGGAAACCTCTGAAACACGGGTGTCCAACATTTTAGATCATCCTCGTTGGCCTCATTGGAACAACGAAAATTTGTTTGTTTGACGGCGCTTTTTTATCGGTTCGATATAATCTATGTCATTTGTGAGGATATTAAAACAACTTTTATGGTAAAACGATACGTCGATTAGAAAAATGTATTTATATCAATTAAAATATATATATACTTTAATAAAAATATATTATATATTTTAATATATAATATATTTATATTAATATTAATATATAATACATAACATTAATATAATATATTTATATTTATATTAATATCAATATATAATACATAATATTAATATAATATATTTATATTTATAATATATATATATATATATATATTTATATTAATTACAAAAAATTTGAAAATTTTTAATAAGAGCACAAAACTTCAGTTCATCAATATCCGGTTTGATCCAGATAGTAGCAATGCAAGAAGTATTTTCAAGATGGTCGTCTAAAATTTTTCCTCCTTATTTTATTTCTTGTGTGATTCGTATGGGGAAAAATGTGGTTGAAATTATCCAAATAATGAAGTTCATATTCAACGTCCAATTTTTGGCTTTGAAACGAGTTCATTTGTAGACTAGAATCAAGGATTCGATTCCATCCGAAATCGCAAAATCAATGGTCTGTTTTTAACACAGGGTCGCACGTTCTCCGGTCTGATTCAAAAGTTCATCGACATATACAAGCCGCTCAATGAAACTTACTTGCCGCTTTACGAAACGGAAGCGGGAAGGAAAATTTACGACGAGACCCTCGCTTGCGTCGAGCAACAATTTCCCGGATACGTTAAGGAAATTCAAGGGACAGCCGACGGTGCGGACGTCCCTTTTCACAAGGTACATTTTCACGTACGATATTTTATAACCTTTAACATTTTTCCTTAATCTATTTCGCGCGTCACGTGTTGACGCGCGATCACGTGCGCGCGCAGCTGTTCCCCTCTCAAATATATACATATATATTTATGTATCTATATCGTCGTAAGTCAGGGTTTCACAAAAATTTCCATTTTCGCGACCCTAATAAAAAGGGCTAGAGGTACAAAGCTAGGAATACGAGTTGAAACATTTGCTGATAGTAAATTATCAATAAATCAAAGAAAATTTATTCGAAAACAATTCTTTAGTGTTAGGTACGAACGTAATTTTATTATCATGCATTACATGGCAAAGACAAATATAAATTTGCTAATTTCTTAGTTTTGCTAAAATTTCTGCGACCCTCAAATTTAGTTACGCAACGCACACTTTGAGAAGTCCTGTTGTGAGTAACTAACAAGTATTAGGAATACCGAAGAGTACCGTCGTTTTCTCCTCTCAAAATGGAAATTTCTGATTTTTGTTGCTTGTTTCAGATGAACATCATTGTAAAGTAACATTAATATTATTACCTATATCATTATCAATATTAACATCACCACCGTTTGCTATGTTTTCCATCTACTAACTGAATTTTCAAAAAAATTTTTTACAGAAATTCTGATTTATTGGCAAAATATTCAGCAATTATCGATTTTGCAGCACTAACCATTGTTTTAAGGATTTTCCCCTTAGGAAGTGCCTCATGAGTCGAAAAAAATGATAGTCTGAAAACCAAATTAGGATAATATGGTGAAATATTACAAGTCGGTTTAGCAATAAATCTTCGTCAATGCGATTAAGCCAAAAATTACACAATGACATTCTTTGTGCTCTTCATGCAAGTCATGCAGTATCCATACTCCTTGCTTATACAATTTTCCTTTTTGATGAAGATGTTCCTGTGAATGGTGAACTAGGAAACCTGTTCATTGAGTCCTAAAAAGTTTAACGAGAATCTGGCTCAATCAAAACGTTGTCGTTATTAATGAAGACAATTGGCTTCTCAGAATGGGAGGCGTCTGAAAAATCGTCAGATTGAAATCTGAAAAACCAACGTTGGCATTTATGACATTTACACTGCAAATTATATTGGTTACCTTGCTGAAATTCAAAATGCATAACGTGTTTAATATGTTCTTTCATAAAGTCTTTCTCTTCGCTAGCTAAAATTTGAACGAAAACTGAATTATATTATTGATAAATTGATAAACACACCTTAAGCTTAATTCTCTTGTATGAAATTTGAAAGCAGTATCCCACAAGTGAATCTATAAATATTTCAAACAGAAGTTGGATTTATTTTTCTAATACTTACAACTTACACCATGCAAACGTTACATACTTGAACACAGAGATATCTTCTTTTTGCTGTTTAAACATATTAGTAACATGTCACGTAGTTACGCTTTTCTTTCCATTAGAAAGTCATCCTTCGATCTGATAAAAATGCTGACTAATATCTTCCGTTTCAGTTATTTCTAATGCATTTGGATGATATCGTGCCAAATGTAGCAAACGAAGGACACGGAAATATGTTACCGGTTGGTTGCTCGACCATCATGTGCAATCAACCTGGACAGGTAAGCATGATTAAACACAGAAAAACAGTAATCGTACTTTGGTTTAAAAGTGGTTTATATAGTAATTCTATAAATTTAATAATATATTTAATATAATATAGTATATAGTATAAATTTAATAATATATTTAATATAATATAGTATATAGTATATTAAACTTTTAGTATACTATTGTATATAGTATATTAAATTTATAGTATACTATAGTATAGTATATAGTATGTTAATATAGTAAGTTTAACTCTAATATTTAATATAGTATAGCGTATACTATGGTATACTATATGTATAGTATATACAGTATAGTAAAACAGCAGACTCCTGCATAACGCGGTCAATACGTTGCATGAATTCGCGTGATAGGAAATCGTCGGGGTATGATAATTTTTCTCGTATAACGCGAATAATCTAAAGTAACACGTTTGGAATTGGACTATTGCCAAGCCAAATTTTATTTTCTATGTGCCCTGTAGCCTGTTATTAACGCGTAATAAATTTTTTCTTTTTCTATTTCATAGAAATTTAACTCATATCGTTGTATTTAAGAATAGCCGCGTCAAGAAACGAAATAATTATGAAAGAGCAGAGATCGGTAACGAAAGCAAACAGTGTAATGCTTGACTTAAATCGGATTTAATTTTCAAACTCTATATTTTATTATTTAACATATAGAATCGCGTTACATGAAAACAACAGTCGCAATATCTTTGATGTATTATAAAAATTCGCGTTATATGAGTCTGTTGTATAGCATATTTGCATAGTATATTTATAATATAGTATATATCAAGAGTGGCCAGACTACAGATGCGCTACTAAATTATTTCAACAAAAACGTGTTTGTAAATAATAATAATAATAATATCTTACTCTGATACTACTTACTCTAATAAATAATAATAATAATATCTTATTCTAATACTACTTACTCTAATAAATAATAATAATAATAATATCTTACTCTAATACTACTTACTCTAATAAATAATAATAATAATAATAATAATAATAATATTTTACTCTTACTTTAAGTAACTTGCTCTATACGCCATTGGTTGATCACCCTTGGTATATATTAATACTATATTTATATATATTTATATTATTACTATATTAATTTACTATATATTAATACTATATTTATATATATTTATATATATTTATGTACTACATTTGATATTCTAACATTTGATAATAATAAAAGATAAAACCTGACACTTCTTTTATGCGTTATCGTTTCTCTGCCAATCGTTTCGGGAACAGGAAATTTTAGGGCACAACGAGGATGCGCTCAGCGAAACTTTAAATCATTGGTATTTGGTTTCGGCGCATGTAATCGAACCGGGATGCAATGAAGAGAAGTTTACCTCTCTGAGTTATGCCGGCTTTTTACCAGGATACACAATGGGTTACAATCATCACGGTCTCGCTTATACTATCAATACGCTTAGTGCTGCTACTTTGAGATCCGGTAAAACACGTGAGTATGTTAATGCGCCACGTGTTTGTAATATTGTTTCACAGCAGTTCTCTTACTTCTTTCAATGTCTCTGTATACATACATACTTTGTTAGGTTGACCAAAAAGTAACCGCATTTTTTTAGGATGCAAATGAAAGGCGAATTTTTCACGAGAAACAAAAACTTTGTTAATATATTGATCATTTTTTTCATTTTTTTTTGCAATTTCATGACTCGAAAAAATTCCAAAGACAATTTGATATCCTCGTCGGTAGTGAAATTCCGAGTACCGTAGCCTGAAGGCTTCTTCACCGTGCAAATCAGATAATTCTTGACGAGCTTGCACACAATTTTTTCCTTTTCGGAAAAGTACAGCAAATTATGGCCAGAAAGATTTCGTCTTTAGATTGGTTTAGATTTTTCAAACGTTGGCGAGATCGTGCATTTTCTTTTTCTAAAGCAAGCTTGAACGATTACATATCAGATTGCACAATATCAGTTTGCAGTGAATTTAAAATGAAGGTAGTTACACCTTAAGATTTACATTTGCTAGGGAAAAAAAAACGCATTTGCTTTTCGATCAACCCAAGAAACACACTTATGTACGTTCACGTTTTGATAATTTTTCTTGTATTTGCTTTCGATCCTCTCTCTCTCTCTCTTTCTCTCTCTCTCTCCCTCCCTCCCTCCCCTTCTCCCTCTCTCTTTCTCACGTTTGTAAATGGAACGAAATACGTCGTACAGCCAGATACTTTCTGACCCGAGCATTGTTAACTGCGGAGAACTACGTGCAAGCTCAGCAAATTTTAAGAAACGAAGGTTTCGGCGCGGCAGAAGGGTTTTCGGTGAACATGACTTTTCTAACGCAAGAAGGGGATAGAATGTTTCATAATGCCGAGGTCGGTCCTTGCGAGATCAACGGCACGCAATCGCAATTAAGCATATTGACCGTTAGCCCTGGAGAGAATACGTTCCACTGCAACAAGTATTACTTTATTTCTTCTCGACGTTTTTTTTTTTCTCGCCGATTTACCGTCTGCTGCTGCCGATTTCCGAATGTCTCCTCATTTCTTTCTCTTCGCCTCTTTCAGATACCTTCGATTGAAAATACCGGAAGTCGAGGGTCTCATCATAAATAGCAGCGACAAACGAATGGCTACTATCTGTAGCCACCCTCCTCCCAAATCTCGCCAAGATGTTGTAAACATTCTGAGCGATCAAACGGACGACGAGTACAGAGTTTATCAAGAGAAAAATAAAGACGATTATGTGAAAACTATAGCAACCGGTAGGTTTCCCGATTTACTCTCTTTTATTCTTCGTTTTATCTAACTCGATTAAGTCTGTATCATCCGCAAATTATTGTTTATATTCGTCAAATGATCGTAAAAAATTTAGGTGTCTTCGACTGCATTGAAAAAACATGGTCTATTTACACGGACAAACCGAATTCTACGGAACCAATTTTGGTGATACCGTTACAATTACACCTCGACTCGACAGTTCCTGCTATGTAACTTGGCCGATGTTCCTTCGTCCTCGATATAATTGACTTTTCGTTCGATTTATAAGACACGAAATCGCCGGTTGATCCTGCTTTTTCCTTTCCTTCTTTTTATTTTGCACAGCATCTATGTCTATATCGTTCCATTTCACCCCTTCAAAAGTTCCTTTTAACGAGACATGGTTTTTTTTTATTCAATTGTACCATATCTTTCTGAAGCAGCTGTCTTTTCATACTGCAGCTTGACAAATTGTTTGCTTTTCCCTGGCAACGTAAACAACAAGATATTCTCGTCGAAAAGCGTTAAAGGTAGATCAAGGTTTTCCAAAAATAATAAGATACTCTTTATTCTTCCCTTTCATTCTCTTCCTTCCTCTTGTTTTTCTCATTTAATATCGAAAAAAACAGTATTTATTGGTAGCTACAATTACAACTTGAAAATTCTATCAGATCCGAGAGATTAATATCACGCGATTAGGTTTTACAAGTGAACAAAATATATAAAAGTAAAACATGGCTTGCAATAATATAGAAATACATCGATCCTTTTGTTTCTGTCTTGTTAGAAACCACAAGTTCTTATAATACTCAAATAATGCATTTCAACGACAATACGTAGGTATTACTACTTTCGGCCGCTTCTTTGATTCCATTTCCGAGAAGAACTCCTTTATATCTTCTTCTCGCACGACTTTCTTGTTTTCAGCGAACTTTTGCAAATATTGTTTCAACCGTTCCTTCATATTATTGTATTCTGTTAACATATATGTATACAAGTAAATGTAGATGTAAAATAAACGAGATTATTAAATCACTCGAGTAAATTTTTAAATCATAGTTACCTTCGATAGCCGTCAATTGTTCGACACGGCCTAGAGAAGCAAGGGCTTTCATGCCTTTTTCGTACTGTGACTCTCGACTATTTATTTTACCGGCTTCCTCGTACGCGTGTACACTGTCAGTTGGATCAAGAAGAAACGCGATGTGTTTCTCTCGGTAAAGCTACGATGACAAAAATTTTTGGTATAATCGTAAATACGAAGAACTAAGGATTCGTTTAAAAAAATGAGTTTACCTCTTTACACGTTTCACAAGTACACAGAGCGGCTCTCCATCCTTCCGTCAAAAAACAACTTCCTTGTGACGCTATTCGTTTTGCAGGATTATTTCTTGGCATTGTGCAACTTTTTGGTATATTTTTCACATCGATCGATTCGTCTTCTTTATCACCGGCAGAAATCTCGGTCGCGGCAAAAGCTACAATTCCGCAAATGTAAAACTATATTAAACTATATCAAAATCATCATCACTCATATATTATATATGTTATATATGTTATATGTACATGTATACATATATCTAAACCTAAGAAGTTATTCATAATTATATATATGTATAATTACACATGTACATAAATGAAACAATATCTAGTATATATATATATATATATATATATATATATATATATATATATATATATATATATATATATA